ATCCGCATTCACTGTCTTGCCCTTGTTCAATGATATTAATTGATGTACAGCACTACAGAGCTTGTGCTTTTGTAAAACGTGTCCTACTGTATCTGTTGAATTATTATTTGTTAGTTTCGTATATACAATAAATTAAAATACCCATGAATAGGGAAGTTACGTTTAAAATTACACTATTGATATAACATTTTTAATAATATTGTTTTTCTTTTTATCAATTTCTTTTATACAAAATACTGTAAAAATAACATTTCTCAAAGCGTTATGCTTTCCGTGTCATAATTAGGCTGGTAAGTTCTATTTGTATATCAAGAAATCACCCCGAGGGTATTTTATGAAACGTTTTAAAGTAGGTTTACAAGACATACAATTTGAAATCGATAATTGTCATTTAATGATAATAGATTACTACATGAACGGGATTCTATAAAGAAGTAATTTCAGATCAAGGAAGAACGAACCAACAAATATAGATGTTTATTAATAAAATGCACATGTAGAATTCATCTTATATTCTTATTTCAAGAAAAATTGTTATATAAGAAGAATAAATAGCTATCTAGGGTTAAGAAGAAACCGTAGGGTCTGGAGAACCCCCACTAGTATAGCAAAGACCTGGCAGCCAGGCTAGTGCAAGAGGAAATGGGACAGCTGTGCCATGCCACAGATAATGTTAAGCCATCCAGCTGTTTGATTAGATATAACCAGGTGTACGATATTATTCAAGAGAGACTTGTCTTCTTGAACTGAAAAGGCCTCACTCCAAAATTTTCCACACCATTATGATTCAAGGCCTGCTCCAAAATCTCTATCTCAGGCTCCCTTTAGATTTGCATGTCCCAAAATATCCCTTCTCTTTTGCTATTTAAACACCTTCATCACTCTTCTTCCTCGTACCGTCTAAACATACTCATCTGTTCTCTCTCTCTCTCTCTCTCTCTCTCTCTTACACACACATTTCTAGTGGGATACTCAAAGCCCTAGCTATGTGTGTATAGCTAGTTAGCTATAGCTTTCTTGTTAAAATAAACTAGACAAGAGTTGCTTTATGCACAAGATATGTTGTCGATGGGTGACTTCTTTGTCTAACCAATACTATGCCCTATCTGAAGGGGCTAAAAATTTATATAATATATCCTTCCTAATTTGTTTGTGTTGAGTGTTGTTTTACTTCAACCACAAGCCTATAACTAGAAGTATAGCCTTGCATAAGATATATAGTTGTTGATTATTTCATACGTTAGATTGTGGTTGTTGTTGTTGTTGTTGTTTAGATTGTGTGGTGGAAGAGAAGGGGCTCACTTCAGTCCAGTCCGAGGCAGTGGAAGATGGCTGAGACTCAGCTGCTGACTCGTTGGTTCGAGAGCTCACCATTAAGATCATCGATGTCTCCACATGGTGGTGTGCTTCTGATCCAACGATGCGGGAGCTGCATTCAGTCGTGACCGTCACGTCTTGGACTGAAGGGGCCTCTTCACTCACACTTTTGCTGTTTAACCTCAAATATTTCATTGAGTCTTTTTTTTTTATATGGTTAATTGCTTTGATTATGTATTTGTATTGGTACTGTATTTACTTCCTTGACGTGCATTTTTCAAGTATATTGTTAGCCAACTATGAAACTATTTTCTTGATTTAATGTGGCTAGTATTATATGTGTGGTGGTGTATTATGGCAACAGAAAAGTTTAATTGCTTGAATGGTTTGCATTCTGGAGAAGAGCTGTATGATACGTACCCTTACGTGAAATTGCAGTTAATTTTGATTGATCTGCAAGCTTCAAAGTACCGAATCTTTTGCAATTCGTTAAATGTATTTACTTTCGATTAGGCTTTCACTATTTGTGCTGCGCTCTTTATACGGAATATTGCATTATATGAAGGGGCTTTCTCCCTTTTTACGGCCAATAGTTTTGCCCAAATTTATAGTACTAATATTTGTACATGAAGAAGATTCGTTTTGAATAATTGACAACGAAATTCTCTGCATTTTGTATCAATTGCAGAATGGTACTAGTAGGGGCAATTCAATGGTGGTTGTGCGGATGGGAGAAGTTGCAGCGCATCCCACTTTCTACTTTCTAGTTCATAGCACAGCCCTTGAAAATGTCAAAAATAAAGGTTTAGACTTGAATGCATTAGCACTTTTGGAGAAACTTGACAACAGCTAATCTTAATACTAAATTCTCAGCTGTTCTCGTGCAACACGCATCTCTCAGTTCTCCGATCCGGTTGAACAAAGCATTAAAAGCAGAGGTACGTACGGGGAAGCATGCATAAATTACTTGCACCCGAGAATTATAATATCAACCTTCTACAATTTCAATGAAATTAAATTAAATTCCTGTTGATCATTCTATCTTTACTTTGGACTTTGAAAATTTCAGTGTTTAAATATTTAAAAATAAATATTTTTTTATCTGAAGGGATATCACTATGATAGAAATATTAAAGTATAATAAACATTTTTTTAATTAGATTTTCTTTTTATTATTAGTCATTGAAGTTCATCTAAAAGCTTGAAATTAAATTTTTTTTTTTCATTTTGTCTGATGTTATTTATAAACGTTGCGCAATACACATTATATCTCTTTAGTTTCATAAAATATCTGTAGGGATTGCGATGTGAGAGATGTTATATATTCATTGGTTGGGTAGTTGAATTGTTGCAGGGAGTGGAATTTCTCTTACTGTGTGATGATAACTGCTGCTGTGATCGATCACATTAAAGACGATGCTGAATCTGAGAGAATGAGAGAATGCTTTCTTTCGAAGAGTGTGGTAAGAGGAACAAATCAGTAGTTTGAATGAAGTTTATTCCTCTATCTATGACTCTTTTTATACGAGGCGGTAGATTAGTTTGAATAACTTTTTGCTCAAGTATTTATATGAAAATAAATAAGGAGGTAACTTATTTTAAAAAAAATTAAGCAATATTTTTAAATTTTTAGGGAAGTTTGGTGCAGATAATTTTTTAAGAAGTTAAAATGTATAGTTTGATTTACTTTAATTTTTTACTAGTTTGTTAAAAAAATTAAACTAAGTCGCCGTTATTTAATTTTTTGAAAAGAATTATTTATTTTTATAATGTTTTTAAAGAGTTTTTTTTGGGAAAAATAGTATTTTTTTAATTAATCATAGCAGATATGTTAACCAGTTGGACCACATAAAGCAATATTCACAGATATACTCAACATAAAGCAATTTTCTCTTTTGCGGACGATTCCAACGCAGGAGAGATTACCTTTGTTTGTTCAATGAGTTCGGGTAGATTTTGACACGGTTTATTTAATAAAAATAAATAATTATATTATAAATTTATCGATGAAGTATATTAAAATAAATCAAATAGAATTTTATCAGACACATAATCTATTTTTATAAATTGTGGTTGGCTGTTACACGTCTTAAGTTTCTTCTTCAACTGTGTACATGGATAAGAAGCAAGAGATTAATATCTTCATTAGCTTATTTTGAGGCATTAATTATGACTTAAATCATGTTATGTGTATGGGTTGAAAGGGAAAGAAGTAGGAAAAAGAGGAAGGGATGAATTTTAATATATTTTTATTCATATAAATAATCAAATAATTTTTTCCTTTTTATTTTTCTAAACAAAATGCTTTTTATTCTATTTTTATATGATTTTTTATTTTTTATTCTACCTCTGTGTTAAGGCGTTTCTATAGTTTTAATTAGAACGTACTGACAAAGTTGATACAGTTCCAAATACCCTAAATTGTGATCAATTTAGTGTTGAGGAATGTTAGCATTATAATATTTAATACATTTGTTGTAATTAAAATTTATTGAAAATTAATAAACTTGAGTCAGTAATAAAAAAAAAAAATGTTATAAAGAGTTTGCTGATAATCTTACTGGTCTAATTAACATGATCATTCGCCTTGCTGGTAATTTATTTATCCCCAGAATAGCAAAAACATTGATTTATCCCCAGCAGTTTATTACCTCAGTATAAAGTCAGTCAATTAAAGTCATCATCAATATAGTTTAAAATAATTACTACAAAATAAATGTATAAATAATTTAAATGATAGTATTTATTGTTATATTCATTTTTTTAATTATCATGCTCCGCTTCTTCTTCTTTTTTTTCTCTAATACCGAAGCCCTTAACTTATTTGGTTTTTAAAATAGAAGCTTTAAATTTTCGGATATTTAATTTGGTTTAAATTTTAAAAATTAGTTTTTAAGAAAAAAAAAGTTATTGCTTTTTAAACTAAATTTAAATTCCTTTGTAATATTTTTTATGGCATATCATTATAAGATACTTGGTGCATGTTTAAATTGAATAAGAAATTTAAGAAAATGAGTGATTGTTCATTTAAAAATTTAGTGGAACTAAATAAAAGTGCCAAGTTAAATGTGGAGATCTGAGATCTAAATCTCATTCCCAAGGCGGAAATAAACTAATTATATATTCACATGCACGGGCTGGTTTTTCATCTTCGATGGCGTTCTGATTTATGAAATTAACATATTCCATAGGGTAATTCAAGAATTTTTATCCTTTCAACTAATTACAGAATTTATATTATATTTATAAAAAGTAAATAAAATTTTCATAATATAATTTATATTATCTTTATTTAAAAATTTATAAGATTTTAAACTATTTATTTAAAAAAATATTTTATCTTTTTGAAAAGATAAAAAGACCCCAAAACATAGTTTAAGATAAGGTAAAACAGTCCTTCCAGATAAAAGTAATCATTGAAGAGTCAAATCATAGCATATAATTTTAACGATATGTATGAGTTGTATAGATAACAAATCATAAACAGTCGTATTTTGGGTAAACATATCTATCCCCAATCCATCCCCAGACTCGCGTCATCAAGTAACAGGTGATCATCAAATGGGGCGTCCAATGAAAATTCTCTAAAGGATTTAGATAAATGAATTGAATGGTTTTTCAAAATAACAAACCACCAATTCAAAGCATTTAATGAAAAAATAATCTAGAGAGACTAGTCTTGGCTAAAGATGAAACCCAGATAAGAGAGTTTTGCTCAACTCCACCAAATGAAACAAAACGACAGCAGTAGAAGTTGGCACACTCATTGCTACCAAAGCCATGGCTCCAAGAGCCAAGCTTGGTCTAGTATTCATCAACTGGGTCTGCAAAACTCCCATTGCTTCACATATAACGGAATCATAGTTGGTATAATAGCGCTTCTCCCAATCCATCCAATCAGAAGGTGGCTCATAGTTCCTCTCTATCATATTCATCTCATGAATCCTCTTTCTGAGGACAATCATGCTCTCATCCACCAATCTCCCACTGAAGTTCTGGTCTGCTGATCCTTTAATGGACGCCATAATTGGAGCAAATGAACCCAATTTCCTGCTATTAGAACATGGCTTGGTCGATGAAAATTGATACAACAATATTGGAGAGGGATTGATCAAAGAAGTGGATTGCATTTTTTTGAGGGTAGGGAATCAAATCAATTAATGGACTTGGAATATAGTGTTGTACCTTCTTTTTCTTTGGGAAATGTATAGTGTTGTTAATTTGGTGACGGAAATGGGAGAGCAATCATGTCATGTCTATATAGGCACTGGGGGAAGGGTATTTAATATTTGTTCATACTTTGATAATTTGGTAAAGGAAGGGATCTTAGAGAAGAAGCAATGTGACAAAACCGTGTTTTTTTTAATCTATAGTTAATGTCTTCGTAAAAACGCGTTTCTAATGTCGTGTCGGCATATGAAAATGACTCGTGTCTGTGAAACATAGATTTAGTAATGATTTGCTGTGGCGTCAGGTTCGTGCCACAAAGTTCGCCGAAATTGTCTTCAGATTAAATGCACGTAATGGGTTTAACGTGATTCTATATATATATATTGATATTATCCATTTCTACAATTGAAATTTGGAGTATAGTAAAAATAAATAAAAGTTATATTGAGTTGATCTTAGATCTTAATTTTAACTTTTATTATCTCTTCATTTTCTGTCTACTTAATTAGAGGGATGAAAAATACTTCATCGTACAATGATATTGCGGGATTTTAAGTGACAAAAACTCAAACTTCATAATTTTGTCAAACTTATCACTCTCAGATTTTAATTTAACTTTTATTCAATAAAATATGTATACGGGACTTCGTGTTTATAGAATTATTCGTACCAATTGATAACCTTCTTAGGAAAATAACACACAAGTTAAGAAAAAAAAATATTATCCTCAATTATATTGAATATAGGGTTTATCCTTCCTTGAGAATTAAAATATGTTAAATCAATGGAAGAAAAGATTCGGGTCATTAATATAATTTTCGTGAGCTTCATGTACGAATATATGGATGGTGTAAAATTAGATCATTGGTGTGAAGTGAGTGAATAATATTGCATTATTGCTTTATAAGAGAGAATATTCCAGTGATTAAATATCATAAAGTGTAGAAGTACAAAGAAAGAGGGATTAATGGGTTGGTTAATTAAAGTGATACATATTTATTTTTATATAAATAAGTAATTGGGTTTGAATTGTATGTATGAAAATTTGTTAAGAGTAGATATTTTTTTATTCAAAGATAATTAATAATTTTTATAAAAAATATTGAAAGTGTGGATAAAAGAGAGTTGAAAGAGAGGGCACAGAGGCAGGGTAGGCTTGACTTTTACTATAAAGAAAAATAAAAAAACGAGCACGGCGTTTGTTAATGTCAACTTTGAGCTTCAGGTACTCTGCATCTTATCTTTGTGTAATATATTAACATTTTGTTGATCATAGTGTGATGAACTTTCCAATTTCCAGAACAATGAGCATTAATGGCAAACATCAAATTCCAAAACGTTGGCCCAAGTAAGGGTGGACTCTTTCTCATTAAACAAGTGTTCGTGAACATGTCAGAATCTTCCTATTCAATGATTAATTAACATACGTAGCCTGCATAACATTTTTTTTTTCTTTTCAAGGTTGAACTACTCCATTTTTATCAGTATCATGGGGATGCATAATAATATGACCAGTACAATATTCTTTAATGCTTTTGTAACTGGAAGATAATAAATATCAGAGAACTTTGAAAGTGGTTTAGTAGCAACCCACTTAAAGCTACTAATTTAAGAATACAAATTTTAAAAAATTATTAATATATTTTATTGTAAATTTTAATGTCCCTCAACATAATTTTTTATTTATTAGTTTCTTAACCAATGCTTTAAAGATGTTGATTAATAAAGCCTTAGTTCAAAATCAAAATATTAATTAATAAGATTCCTTATTAAATTGTAATCCCTCAATATTAAACAAAAAAAAAAGGTTAGTCGCAGTCCTTAAGGCCTTTTCAATCCCTCTCTACCTGATTTCTCAACATTATTTGAATCTTAAAGCAGACGTTAAACACACACAGTTCGTTATTACCTGTTCCACAAAAGAAAATATAATATATAATAAGCAACACATGAATAATTCAAGGTTCAGGCGCCGAAATAGGACTTGTAACTTTTTTAAAACTTGTTTAATAAAGTTAATTTTAAAAAGACCAATTGAACTTCTTATTTATATATTGTTTACATTATAATTACAAATTTAATACACTTCAATAGTTTATATTTCTTGTTTTGCATTTGTTTGTAACTATGCAACACTTTTATTTGTTGGTCTATATGAAAACTTTCATGTGCTATAAGTTTTTAAATATAATTTCAAACAACGTTATCTTTTATCGCAAAAGACAAGGCTGAGCCTTAAAAAGAGTGATATATTTAAGGTTAGGTTTGTGTTAATATTTTATAAAATAGATTTGAGCTTATTTAGGTAAAGACTCGTATAAATAGTATACAAAGAAAGTCTTTTATACATGTCCTTTGGTATTAATTAGTGTTCATGATTATTAAATATTTTCTTTATTTCTTTTTTATTTGTAACACAAAAATTAAGAAATATAATTAATATTTTAAAATTCATAAAAGTGGTTACTGTATTTTTTATTATACCTTGTGTCTAAGATAATTGATTTCTTCCAAAACACGCATTAATTAATAAACCTGAAATCTTTCTAAAAAATTTAAAGTATTATAAAATTAAAGATTTGGTTAATTTCTGGTTGAGTTTAAACATTTATAAATATATTTTTTTTTATAAAAATATATATATTTATCATCTTGAAGTTATAAAATAAAAATATTTTTGATAAAAATTTATGATTATTAAATGCTTATAAATTTTTTCTAAATTTAAAGTCAGAGTGTTGACTTGGGATCAGAAATTACGTCAAATTGAAACATTAATGAGTTATCTCCTGCAAAATTAAAACGTGAAGAAGGAATTGTCAAAGTGAAAGCAACACAACAGACAGTGGTAGGCTGATAATTATTATAGCTACTGCTTTGTTGAAAATAAAAAGTAAAATTATAATCAGTATCTTAGTTAAAGAACTAAAAATAAAAACATTTTATTAAAAATATAGAAATACGCACGTTTTTATTGTTTAATATAAGTTTTAATAAAATATTTATTTATTTCTTAAATAATACTCTAACAACACTGATTCACAAGACTCTATGGACAATAATATCATACATGAATGCTCGTTTGTTTCTTGTCGGCATGAGCCGTTTTCTTGATTCATCGTAAAAATTTGAGAATAGTTTTTGCTAAAATTCAAGTCAACATTTGTCGTTGTTGCATATGTAGAGAGGTTAATTAAGGCAAGCAAAGGTGTTTAGTTTAACAATTCAACCGTAATTGTTTTTTTTAATCAAATTAAATTGGAAGATCAACCATTTTGCCAAATATAAACGTTCACCTTGTTTTTCATGCATTAGTTCTTACGGTTAAGTTTCATATTGATACATTTCTTGCAGTGAGTAATTGGAAAAATCGTTTCATTACATTACATCAATGATGTAATGAATTTTATATAATAATAATAATAATAATAATAATAAACTTGTATCATTTTTTTACGATACGTATTCGACTAAATTATATAAATTAATAAGATAAATAAAATTATTATTTTTTAAAATATAATATAATATATTAACTTTATCCATGTTTAATGTCATTGAATTTAAAATCATAATTTTTTTATTTTAATTAATTTTACTAATTTATTCACAATTCTCACCAGCTCTATTTGTTTATAGTAAATAAAAAAATTAATAAAGCTATAAAAAATCTTGTAATAAAAGCTACCAAAGCCTATGAAATATCACCTTATATAAAAGTCAAACACTATGATTATTTCTTATAGAATACATATATGAATTTTTTTAAAATAAAAAAATATACAGACTTCTACATACATTATAGTTTTTTTAAGAAGTACATGTGAAAAAATTGAAGAGAATGAATAATTTTGGATCAAAAGTAACTTGGACAAAGCACTTCAAATGTCTAAAGGACAAGATAAAAAGCTAAAAGTAGATTAGTGAGCAAAGTTAGATTAAAAGTGACTCTTAAAGATAATTAGAACATGAGCTCTTTATTGTTTTAAAGAGATCTTAAAGTTTAAAGAACTGTATGAATCTTTATCCGTATTTATTTTATTATTTTCATAATTTTTTATACACAATAAATTATATATATTAATTCCATTACATATGTTATATGAACACTATTTTTCTCATTAAGTAAATTTCAATCTCAAATCACTCATCCATAATAAACACAAAAACGTGTTCCTGATTTTTTATCCTATTATAAAATGTTTGTAATTTTATATACGCTGCTGCTTGAAACCAATATAAACATACCTTATAAAGAATAAATAAGAAAAAGAGATGTAGAGACTTAACAGGAAAATAATTTCGAAGAAGGATAAAAGAAGCAAAATGTTGGCGTGTGGGAATGATCGTAACGTTTATAAAAAGTGCAATTGGTATGACATTTTTTGCACAAAAGAAATGCAATTTTTAAATTGAGATATTATTTTAATTTTAAAAAGAACCACAAATCACGGTCGGCACACTAAAACACGTAACAGCAACTTCTAGACGTCACCCTTAATAAGTTTTGGTGTAATTATATTCTTACAATAAAATAATACAATAATTTATGAAAATATTTTTTATTATATTATTTAATTTATATAATATTTTTTTCTTCATTTAATATATTTCTCTATCTCTCAATATGTAAATGTGTGCTTTATTTTGTAGTAAGAAGTATCAAACATTCGTCTATAATATTGAAGCTAGGTTGCATTGAAATTTGCATATGTTACATAGGATTATCTAACATGAACGTAAATTCAAATACACAATGAATAAATTTAAAGTTAATCTAACCCCACCTTAAATTTGGAGAGGCAAAACATGAACTTGATTCCTGAGGAACATGGACTGGTTCAACTTTATGGTCGTGCCTATTGAGCTTAGCTACATAGGCTTATAGTTTTAATTTGTTGTCATGAGAATCGAATTTTGAAGAAGAAATAAAGATGGATTCACAAAGATGTATACAATTACAGCCATGCATGACTGCATGTTGTTCACAAGTCTAGAAAGATTGACCTTCTCTACAAACATGAAGCAAACGGCACGAAAGAATGGGTTAGGGCTTAATATTTCTTCGTGGGAAACTCAATCATCTAGAATAAAAATGTACTATCTATGTTGACATGTTTGGAGTGTTACCATAATTTGTAATTACTAATTTTTATGGAATTTTTTTTTCTCTAACTTTACAGTTCTTGATAATGACAAATAAGACATTGATTAAGTTAAAAAACATAATGATACGTTCCTCTCTCTCTCTCTCTCTCTCTCTCTTATATATATATAAAACACAATTTTTAATAATAAAGAAAAGTTATTGATCCCTTACAAGACCCTTTTTAAGTAATAGCCATTATCGAAAAGTTACGTTTTAAAATTTTAATTTATCAGCTTGTTATATTTATACTAATAATTTATTTTTTATTAAATTGAAATTACACCTGCCAAAACTATTGATCCTTTAACATTTTGTATTTGTTAATAAAATGGAATTTTCTCATAATATGAAGAATATATTAATTTGAAAAATTCATCAAACAATGTTTTTTCTTCTCCTCATGCTATGAATGTATACGTCATCCTGTTGAATTAATAGGTAATTGATTCTGAAAAACCCAATTTTCCCACTAAAGTTATCGTAGCGATGATACCCTTTAATTTATTTGTATATATAAACCTGACTTTTTATTTTTTAAAAATAATTCAAGAGTTATTTTCTTTGTTATTGAGCTGTATGATTGTTCTGACATCGAATATTTAAAATTAAATTGTATTAATAATTTTTAGATAAACTAAAATTCAAGATTGTTATAATTCTCTTTAATTTAGATTTAATCTAAAATTTGATACATTATATCAATAGAAATTACGTATCTTGAATAAAAGGGAATTTATTCAAAAATGAACAAAAAAAAATAAAAATAAAACGGAAAGACGATTATGTTGAACGTGTTTTAACTCTTTTTTTTTTCCAGACCCATCTGTTTCCTGTCGTGGTGACTTCTTGGTCGTAAAGTGGGCTCTAGTATCAAATTTGGAAAATTAAGTTACTTTCAATTGCAAATAATGCTATTTAAGCTCTTAATTTTACTGCATAACATGCAAAGAATTTGTTAGTTTTACACTTCATTTATATACATCAAAGTATGAACAATATTTGTTACAGGAATCCATATTGCACCTTTTTGACGTAATGTTGTAAAGTCAATTTGGAATTTCCTATGTGACCTTGGGGTCGTTTCGAATTGATTTCAGATTGGTGCAAATAAAAGCTGGCCTTGAGATATACTATATGATTTCTTTAGCCAATTGAATTAGATGAAACACAAGTAGTGACATTGACGTTGAGATGCTTAGCATAAGCAGAGCCAACATACCCACTACAAAGCAAGGCCTAGTGTTCATCAACAATCTTTGCAACAATCCAACTACTTCATATACATCCGAATCATAATTCTCAAAATACTCTTTCTCCCATTCAGTCCAATCCGAAGGAGCTTTACTCTTCATTTCCACCATCTCAATCTCACGGATTCGCATTCTAAGAATGATCATATTCTCATCCACCAACTTGCCATCATAACGGTGCCCATATGAGTCTCTTTTTGATGCATAGATGAAACTCCTACGACTACTAGTGGTGGTGGTATTAGTGAGGAGCATGTGTGAAATAAATGGTGCCCTCTTTTTGATGCCTGAAGGAGGGGATGATATAAGCATAAGTGAGGATGGAGAGGTTGCTTGCATTTTCTTGGACCTCAAAGTGATGAACAATAACTAGTTGTGTGATTGAAATGTATCGTTGAATGTTTTGGTGTGCATATTATAATATATATATATATAGTAGATGGATGTGCGTGTATTGTTGTTGCAGGTTATGGAAATTAAAGGACGGTGGAGTGAAAGTTGGGGCGTAAGATAAAGTTAGATTCCAAGAAGGAGAGATTGCGGATTACGGCACACCATATGATTGGAAATGGGAATTGGAGGTGGCGTGTCGATTTCTTTGAATGTTTCTTACGCCAAAGAACCTTCTCCCTCACACCACACCATGTTGGATTTGTTTCGTGTACAATTGCTTCATATTATCGCCGTAATAATATGTTGGAATCTAGAAGCATTCTTGGTCCTTTTACATTTATTTTTATTCTTTTTTTATTTTTGTCATGTCACTTACCATACTTTTTACAATTTTTTTCACTTTCTTCGTATCTCTTTCTCGTACCCATCTCACACGCCATCAAAATATTGTTAGAGAAACATTATGGAAGACAATTTAACTTTTAAATCAAATAAAAACAGTAAATCATATGATTAGCACTGACAAGACAAGGCCGCAAAGGTTACGCTACAATTAAAAAAATATTTAAATGCCGAAGCATCAAAATACGTGATTTAATAGTTTTTAAATGACGAAAAAGAATGCAATGTCCTTCACACCAAAAAGATTGTACCCTTCACTCTCCTCACCTCCACTTCACTCTATTAAAATAACTATTCTCCCCACAATTTCTCCGAACTTATAAATTAAACGGGAAATTTTAAAATTTTAATAAAATTTCCCTCCTTTTTCTTTCCCTTCATTCTGGTCCAACCGAATACTATGTTTGGATTGGTATATAAACCTGCGTCTTGCGTGAGAAGACACAATCCATTAGGACTACGTTATTCACTACTAAAACTTGGTAAAAAGGAAACCTGTGACCTACCTCAATTTTCCAAAATTGTGGATCATAGTAGTCACAATCAAGAAAAAACCATCCGATGGATGATCTCCACATATTCTGTGATCATTGAATGAAAAAAGAAGCTATAATAAAAATGAACCAAGATGATACGGCCAATCAGCCACCATCACTGTTTATTATTACAACTAACCACCTGTGATTCGACCAAAAAACTAACTAGTAAGCATAAGCTGATGTTTTGGTTGTGCAATTATCACATCGTGATTGAAGTCCTGTTCTATAGAAACGGCTAACTGTCTCAGTATTTGCTGGTCACCCTTTCGCAAAGTATCTCTTTACCTAGTACCTGTATTAGATAAATCAATAAATAGATGAATATCTGACAAGAACAGCAGTAGGCCCAGCTGATTACAAACCTTCTAGGACAAAAGGGCCAACAAGATCTACTTCATCTGACTCAAGGGATTGGTTGGAACCAACTTGGTTGACCAGTGGAGCTTTAAGTGTCTGATCAACTTGTTCAGAATTCAACTCCTCAAGTTTTAAATGCGGTTTGTTGAGGTCAATAGGGCTTTCAAGTTGCTGGTATTTGGGCTTGTTTTTCTCAAGGAGAAGGTAGGTGGTGCAATACCAAAATAGCAGTATTCTATTTTGTGCTATCACAGTATCCCTAATCCTACTTCTTCCAAAGGAAATACGCTCTAGTGCCTGTGAAAGACGGAAGGGAATAAGTAAGTGAACTGGATCAGCATTCAAGAAAGTACATAAAATTACTGCTTTTGTCCATATAGTCGGACAATGGAAAAGCATATAGGTATTTTGTGTAACTCAGTGATAATACCTCTTCTAGAAAAAAAGAAATGATTGAATGAGGGGATTATAAGTCCAGGTTAATATTCTAAATTTAGCATTTATATGATGGAGGGAGACCAAAAGCATTACTACTCAAGCAACAACAATATTTCAATGATATTATAACATGCAACTTGATTAAAAACTGATGGTGATTTGTCTAATCTCTTAGGCCAGCTTTTAGGGCTACGATTTTGTTTCCTCTCTTGCTTATACACCTCAGTCAAACCCAAAAGAACCATGTTTTCCAGCTTGGTTTTTTTACCTTTTCTTTAAATACTTGATAACTTTTCTCTTTAGATTTGGAGTACATCGGTTATAATGTCATTTTTTATTCAATTCTATCAAATGTTATCTTAACTCCAAATGAAAGTAAGAGATTCTTGGCTCTACCCTCACCTGTTCTCCAGTTTGAACATCAAATGAATGCTGATGGTCAAATTGAAGACCACTAAATTCATTGATGCAGAGTCCCTGGAAGGCCCTGAAAGTGTGCATAAATCAATTTGGTATTCATCAGTATCAGAGCAGGAAAAACCAATAGTAAACTTTGCAAGGATATTTAGCTCAATGAAGTTCAGTTTCCTAGTACTAGCTATATATTTGAACTTAACTCCTCTTGCTCACTCACAAATCAGAATTGTGTTTACCATCTAATCAGAGAAACATTGGGAATCCAGCGGAAGATGATTGGGGTATTCTCTGGATTGACATAGTAACCTCCAAATACGATAAAAACTGTCATCAGAGAGGGGCCTACTGCCATTGCTGCTTCAGTGGTTGGAACCATAGCACCAACAGTAAGACCCATAGCAGATGCAGCAAAAGATTCCATAGTGACAATGCCACAGAATTTTCCAAATCTAGAATGTCAAATTAATAAGTCATCATATATGAAATGGAAAGAATTAATTGGAATAAAGCTGGCCAAGAGAAAAAAGAAAAATATATATTTTTTCAACAGAACATTCATTCATCACCTATTTATGTATATACCCCCATGGCCTTTGAGATTGACCCCTATAAATAATCCTCGGAAATGAAACAACGGCAATAACGGATTGTAAAGGACTACTTAGAAAATTATACACATTTCTTTGCCTTCCTCAATCATATAAAGCATTAGAGAAAAAGTCAATCTGCTACCCAAAAAATAGCAAAATAAAATGAAAGAAAATTGCAAATTTATTCAAAACTGTAGCTCATATAGGCCCAGATAAGAAATTGACCTTTGCAAAGTAGGATGAAGACGTGCCATTGGATACAAAACAGAACCAAACACTAATGGAAATGCCGCTCCGATGGGAATCTCAGCCAACAACTTTGATAACAAATAGGGACCCAAGGAATAGGAGCCTTTAGCACGTTCTCTATCAACAATTGCTCGTTCCTTTGGAAACACGCCAACAGTCTTTGTGAGAGCAGCCATAGCTGTGTTTATTGCAGTAACCTGGATGGCCACCATGTAATTAAGGAAAGTAAACTTAGCCAAGTGAAACTGTCATTTTCTGTAACATAGCAATATTTGGGTTTAAAGCATTTCAAAGCAATTGTCAAGATAATTACAATAAAAGATGGAACTCAAGTAGTCAAGTGCACTAGATTTTGGATAACACTATCCCTACACAATTAATTGGTGGTCCCCATAATATTTATAGTTTTACTTTTAGGTCAATAAGCAAAAACTTCACTATTAATTCAGAAGTTTGACCTCACAAAATCAACTAAACTAATAAGCCAAATAAATAAAATAGGTGATGAATGAGCACTTTATAGAGAAATCTCAAATTAGATACTTTCCATTTTCTCCTTGGAACTTATTTTTCTTCGTCTTGAATAAATAAATAAATAAACAATCTTGAAATTCTTTTACCAGTACAATCTTCATGTTATGTTCAATTATTTTCTGTTTAACAAATTGAAACTAATAATGAATTCCAAGAAAATCTCCTCACAAAACTTGTGCAGATGTATGCGGTTTATTCACATGTGAAGTACATACAAAACACAGATACATGCTTGGAGAAAGGTGCGTACAAGGATTAATAGTCAAAGGACATGTAAACAGAGCTAGTTATCTAAAGTCAACTTTTATAATATTAGCTCATATAAAGACCATTCTAATATGCATAATAAATTCCACAAAAGCCAACAGTGTTCAGAGTTTAAATGTAGACAAGATCTCTAACCATAGTGTTAGGAGTTAAGACAGAAGGGTTTTTTCTTGGAAGAATAAAGGGAAAACAAACAAAATAGTATTGACGGTTAGAGTAGTTAGTCAGTCAGAGGGAAGATAATTAGATAAATAAAAAGGAAAATGTAATTCAGTTTTATTAGTTTTGGAGAAGAGAATTAGCCCAGTTGTGAAAGGGGTAACCCTTTGTGAAGGGGAAACCACCAGAAGGAGAATTCCTCCTTTGTTCTTTCTTGGAAATTCAGTTACCAACAACAGACGCATTCTTTCCTGTCTCAACTTCTCTCATTCTAAGTTACACCTCTTAAACATCATATTTTGCTTATGGGTTCCTATCACATGGTAGAATTAAAATTGAATCATAAGAACATTTCAAAGTTGTTCTGCAATGTATGTCAGAAGCAAGTCAATATGAAAACAAGCATACAGGAATCAGGAAGACCACAAACCTGAAGCAATCCCATTCTGTCTTGTATTGAAGTCTGAGATTTTCCCATTCTCCAAAAAACTGACCCAAAGATAATCGCTGATGCAATTGACATCCTTGCCCGAACTTTGTTTGTTGGAGCATCACGGGAAGCCTAGTCAGCCAGACAAACATGAATCCAATGAATGAGAAAAAGTTTGATTCTCCTTATACTATGTCTAAGAAATAAATTATCCTTCATTATCTTCCTAAACTATATCTAATCTCTAGGGATCAGGACAAGATAAAGAATTTAAGAGAACTGGTGACATTCATAGAAGCTGTAAGATGGAGAAAATAAATAATTTAACCGCATAACATACAAGATGTGAAAACAATAAATAATTAAACAGTAATGCCACTTTTGTTAGTATATCTTCTCAAATGACTTAAGCATGCATCATAAGTCGTTCCTTAAGAGACATCAAATTTGTTTGTGGGCAAGCCAGAAAATTTTATACAGGTCCTATCATGCAATTTATCCAGATCCTGCCATCCTATGAAAGTTGACAGAGTGACAGACAACAAAATAAAAAGGCAGACCTGCATCCATGCCCTTCTAAGAAGCAACTGAAACTGCTTCCACCAACCCCCTGACTTCTTTGCTACAGTCCTCTTGCTAATTTTCTTTCTACTTTTTGAGAAATCATCTATAGTAATTGGAGTTGCATATATTACAGTTGATACTCTTTGTGAGAATGACTCAACAAGACCATCGATCCTTTTTTGAGAGGAACAGACACTATCAGCAGAACTGTAGTCCACGGATATAAGATCAGCCAAAAATTCAGCAGGATTTACATGATCTGGACAGGGGTACCTGTTACACAAGCAATCATCAACCAATTGTGTGGAACAAACAATAAAAAAGTCAAAGAAAAAATTTTAAATTACACAAAATTACCATTTCAGTGCACTATTTCTTACTTCCATTCAGATATTAACAACAAATGGTATAAAGAAAGGGACTATGCTTTTGGATTGAATGAATGAAAAAATAGGGTTCATTTAACTAATTAACTCATATAATTAGACAATGGAGAAAAGTCAACAGACTATTGCAAAATATAATTTTGACTTAAAACTCAAATAATTTTGATTAACTAGATTTCTAAAATTTAGTTTTTCACCAAGCTCAATGGCATCATGATCCATGTAGTCGACCTCACATAGTGATAAGGTTTGGTTATTGTTGTAATATCTCAACTTGAAGGCAAAACAAAAATATCTACCAAATGCATAAAAACTGGAAATTAGGCAAATATTAAGGTTCATACATGATGAAAGGATTTACCTCTTAGAGAATTAGAAATATATCTATTTCAATTATGCTCATTAGGATTCAATTCATACACTACCTAACATCATGGCTTTGCAAGAAAAAACCCTTAGATGTGTAAAGAACCTCATTCACAATGCAGACTGCCTTTAAAAGTAATTAAGTAGGATAACAATAGATGCAAGGTGTATCTCCAAGAATATAACTTATCACAGCATTGCTACCAATATCAATCAAAGACTTGATTAAATGATAAGTTAAATATAATTGTCAGATTTGAAATTCTGACAAGCTTCCTAATTTGGATTTCCTGGTTTTTCTAGAATAATAGGTCATTCAATAGTGTATGAAGTTAACCTAGCCACAATTTCTTAAATTAGCCACAATTTCTCAAATAATATAAAACTTGAGAGAAAGTGTGAAGACTGTATAATAGCATAATATAATAAGTTCCAGATGATGACCCAAATTTTGAGAAGTATTCCAATGGTTCATCACGAGCAGGACCAGCATAAACAAGAGAACCCTCTGTTAGCAAGATGATGTCGTCAAATTTACTATACACTGAACCTCTTGGCTGATGTATAGAGCAAATTACAGTATGACCATCTTGTGCAAGTTGTTGGAGAGTTTCCATGACTTTCTCAGCCTGGAAGGCATCAAGTCCTGAAAGAACAGAAAGTAACTTCATGACAAAATGAGTGTACAGATTGACAGCATTTGACAGCAGCTTCTGGCAGGGAAGAGTCATCTATACATTATTACATTAAAGATTTAAAGAATGAAAACAGGGGTTTTGCACTAAAAAAACACTGAAAGTGAAAAGAAGTGCAATCTGTGCACATTATTATGCTATATGTTTTATGGGCAAAAGTGCAAGAACCCTCTCTTAAGTCTAGGCTAGTGTTAGAAAAACCACTTGTTACTCAAACTTCCTATACTTATCAAATGGTGTAAAGTAGGCATAAAGTAATCCATTATTCAGGTATGAAATCCTTTGTATGGTGTCAACATACACAGTTTTCTGATTAATGGTTCTAAGATAGGAAACTGTTGTGTTAAACAACTCAGTGAATAGATGGAATTTATCAGCAAAATGATGTGATCAACCAAGATTACCTCTCTAAAATTGTAGATACTCAGGTCATAAATAAAAAGTGATATCAGTCAAAAGATACATTCAGGGTGGATGAAATGGAGGAATGCTTCAGGGGTGATAAACGATAGAAAAGTACCATTCAAGCCAAAGGAAACGTTCTATAAGACCTACAATGCTGTCTTAGACCGAGTGTAAGGCAGCAAAGAGCCAACTAGAAAGGAAACTTAATGTTGCAGAGATAAGATGTTACTGTTAAGCTCACCAAACACGAATATAACAATAATGGTTAAGAGCAGAAAAAAAAAAAATCAGAAATGGAGTAATCATGTATATGAGATGTATGATATATGAAAGAAGGTATAAAAGTACCACTCTCTCAGTTCACAGACCCAGAGCCTCCCTCTCTAGGCACAAACAGCCTCCCTAATCATTTTCTTCCATAACAAACTTCTCTCTCCTCCTTTCCTATATAACTGACTCCCCCTTAAACGGGTGCTCCCTTTCCCTTCCTAGTGTACACATGCCAAATTTTGAGCCTTTCCACTTGACTCACTAATGGGCCCATATCAGTCACCCTAACAGCAAGGGTGGATAAGTAGTTATACAAGATAAAATAGCATTAGAAATACAACCTTCAGAGGAAAAGTTAGGGTAGCCTCTGTTGTAGAAAAAATTGAGATTTCTTCTTAGATGGTTTGGGCATGTGTGCAGAAGACTGTAGAAAGACCAATAAGGAGGGTTGACTTGACCCAGTGGAAGATATTCTAATGGTTAGAAGTAAAGGAAAACCCAGAAACACTATAAAAGCATCAAGAGAGATTTAGAGGGAAACGGTCTATCTTTACACTTATACATGACAAATTTATAATGATGTATAATCCATGCAGCTGCTGCAATTAGTAAGAAAGTTTAGTTGTTGCTGTATTCAGATCATCATATACATATATCCCCCAAACCAAGATAATTTCACTACCATGAAGTCAGAATGTCAGGTTAAACCATGACAATAGAAATCCTTATTGAGCAGATTTAAAGATGTCAAAGTGAATACTCATTACTGAACAAGCAGCAAGTTATACAGCAAAACACTACTAACTTCTTTTTTATTGAGAAACAACCCAATAGTTTCAGCAGCCCTAAAGTGATTGGCAGATATGGCTTGGACAAAAGTGTACTTGATTGGAGGGGAAGACAAATGAGTTAGTTTAGACAGTTAGAAACATAGAAAAAATAGTAAATTAAGCTAATTTCTTAGATAAATGAAAAGACAGAAGTAAGAGTAGGGGGATCATTCAAGGAATTGTATTTGAGAGAACCGAGCAAATGCTCAATTGTGAAGGGGAAACCCTTAGGAGAAGAGATTTTCCTTCTTGTTCATATCTTAGTTGAGCAATAAAATCATTCTTTTCTCTTTTCCATTCTCATCATCAATTCATAATAGATGATAACAATGATAGTATTCTGAAATTGAAACTCTTTTACCACGAGCATCAAAGTGGTAAATGGTCAGATGATAGATCAGAATGCATATGAAACTAAAAGTACATATTGAAATTCCTTACTGACTAATTCTTAAATTTTAGTTTTAAGCATGCACACAAGGAATACACTTTGTGCATGCAATATTATATTTTTACTTAATTAGCCATACACCTACTCCATATTGTATGCAAAGTTTAAATTCTACAAGCACAAGCACAAACACATGCTTACCTGTCGTGGGTTCATCAGCAAATATAACAGATGGGCTTGCAAGCAGTTCACATGCCAACGCTAAGCGTTTCTTTTCACCACCACTAATTCCACGAACTTTTGAATCACCAACATTGGTGTCAGCACAACTAACCTTTAGAAAAAGAAAAAAAAAGGCATACAGATACCAAAGGGAGTAATATCAGTAACATAGGACTATCCAACAAGAGTATCACATTTTCAATCATAAATTTGAAAGAGGAAAGCTGAAATAATTACATAAGATACACCAGTAACTTCTAATGGTGATTCTTATTTTGAAACATGTGACAATAAAGGGCAAGCATCTAAAATGGATGAATCAAAATTCAGTTTTCAAAGAAGATATACAGGTTTGTTGAAAAAAAAACTACTCAAAACTGTTCCTATATTCCAATATACTCCCAGTAACTACTTCATCACCAACACAAGTTACAGGATATGAGGGAATCTCACCAAGCCTAGTTTGAAAAGAAGATTGTTCACGAATTCATCTCTCTCTTCAGCAGAAGATATACTGGGAAGCTGGAGTTCTGTAGCTAGAGACAATGTTTCCCGCACAGTGAGCTGTGAGAAAAAGAGATCCTCCTGTCTCACATAAGCAAACCTACAGCAATAAATAACGGCATTATTATCTCCTTAGCAGCTTAAAAGAGAGGACAAAACTTAGGTGTAATATTGTAAGTGCTTTTTCTGCTATTCTTCAATCAAAATTAGAGTTTTACATCGATAACTAGCATAACAAAGGTCGATGCAAGTTACCAATATGAAACTTCAATCTTGATTGAAAAAAAGTACCTAAAACGTTGCACCTAAATTTTGTTCAGAAAGAAACATAAAAAATGTACGGTAAACACACTAACAAACAAGCATACTTGTAAGCGTTCTTAGAACTAGACTTTCCATTGAACTCCAAAATGCCACTTAAATGCAACCGAGGAGATGCTTGCAACTGACCCGCAAGAACGTTAAGCAATGTTGTCTTCCCCGAACCTGAAGGCCCCATTATGGCTAATAATCTCCCAGGCTTTGCTTCTCCACTCACATTTTTAAGCAAAAATCTCACCTGTAAGTTTAACATCAACTCCCCATTATCACCAAAACAAAGCAAAAAAAATATCTATAAAGGCAAAAAAAACTATCAGTCTAGCACAAAAATGTGCAGGTAACGAAAACTAACAGGTTATCTTAATTATGATAAATATCCAAAGATAATACTCGATTTTTTCCCTCCCCCTCGCGAATATTCGTAGCAACCAAACAGGAACTCAGCATTCACGAAGAAGAATATAATAGGAACTCACGGACTTGGAGGATTTATCGGAAAGGGAGCAATTGATGCTATTCCAGCGAATTGTGACCGGCGTGACCTTTCCGGAGGACGGAGCTTCGCCGTTGCGAGAATCGTTGTCCGGCATGTCATCATCGTCGTTATCCGGAGAGAGGGCGGGGCCGGGAGCGGAGAAGACGCGGACGATGAAGGAGACGGCGACAGCAATGACGACCTGGCCGAGGCCACTGCCGCCGAAGCCGACGACCATTTGGCGCACCTTTTTCCCGCCAAAACCCGCCATTATCGTCTCTTCTCTTCGGTGCGAAGTGTGCACTGGGAACTGTGAGTGTAAAGAGTGCCCCCGGAACAAAGAACTTAACGAGTAAAATATCGTGAAGGAACGACCGCGTTTTGGTGACTGGAAAGCATGTGTGACACGTGTCCGCTTGAAGATAAGATGGGTATGAAAAAAGCGTGTCTTCTTGTGAAGAGAATTGGCTATGTTCTTTGTCTTTTTGGAAAGCTTCAATTCAAAGCCAAAAAATCCCATTACTTTACCAGATCTTTTCCTTTTATAAGGGTCGACGGTAGAATATTAATAATTTGGACACTTAAATATTTTGAAAAAAAATATATGTCTTTTTAAACAAAAATCATATGTCATATTATTCTTCTCGGCTTGATCAAACGATCAAGTTATATACATTCTTAATTTTCCACTCGCATTATATAAGTGATATATTATATTATATACATGAAATCTGTCAATTACGTTTTTAACCCAAATTTTTTAAAGGCATGCCAAATTCAACACGCAAAAAAATTTTTATTTCCTATCATGCACATGACTACATGAGATTAACAATTTACTATTTTTCAAAAATAAATCAAATTTTAACTGACAATGATACTGGTTAAAGAATTAAAATTATTACTTTTTAATCATATTAAAATATATGTTAACAAGTACTTTTTGATAAAAAAATATTTTTAATTTGTTAATCAATGTTCTAATATGACATTTTGATATCAAGATAAAAACTTATTTTATTGTGTTGGTGCATCAACTAAATTGTATCTTAAAAAAAACAATCTAAATTTTCCAAACCCATAAATTATAATATAATTGGTTTTTTAAAAAAATTAAGTTCTTAAATGTATTTTTTTAAATATTTTCATAATAAAATATGAAATAAATAAGCATACAGTGATTTTTTAATAGCTAGCGTCATATTGTTAGTTTTGAAAATTGTTATATTCATCCTTTATGGACTCACAGTTTCATGCCATCGAGTCTTTGGGATTGAGAAGACTTTAAACTGAACCAACCAAAAACGTCACCGCTCATTATTTATTAGAAACGACACATCTTCATGTCACATAAAAGTACTAATCCAAACGGGGTTTTTAGTCTGAAAAAAACATTTTTTAAATAAAACAGTTATTATTTTCACATTTTCAAGATTTATAAAATATATTTATTTTAGTGTCCAATTTTCTATTTTTAGAAAAAATCAAAATATTAAAAACGTGTTTCATATATCTATTTTTAATAATTCAGATTTTATAAACATTTTTACACGAAGTTTAAGCACAGCTTTTAGACAAAAAGAATACATTCGTATTTTTATTAATGAATAATTCATAAAATGTATTTCTGCATTGCTTATATGCTTAAAAAACAAACTTAACAAGTATTATTTGTTAACAAAGAAGAAGAGAAGAAAAGGAAAAAAAACAAAAATGTAATAAGAGACGAAAGAGGCAAAATGAAGAAAAAAAATTGCAGAGAGATGTTCACACTTCATGCTCAAGTAAAATCGAGGAGGTGACAGAGATAAAGGCAACACATATATGCCAGCACCCAACGCAAGAATAGCATGACAAATCCTAGAAAAAAACAAAATAAACACAATAGACAACTCTTGATGACAACAGTGGTGAGGTTAACATGTAATAGCGTTCCTACACGTAAAGAAAGAAAATGAAATAGGTTGCAACAAATTTCCAACAAATTGCAAGTGATGTTTCCGTTTCCAACTGGTTGAATTTCATGTTCCAAATTGACTTTTAAAACTCTGTTTGATGTTGGCAAGCTGGCCCAATACAAACAGAAGCTTGAAGCAAAAAATCACAGTATATTTTTCAGAATAATATAACATAAAGGCTCTTTTAAATTTATTATTTAAAAAAGTAAAATACATGTTTTATATGAAAACGAAATAAGTTAAAAACTGAATTCTTTTAATAGATGTTAATCAGTTCTTTAAGCATTAATTAATAACTCTATTTAGCATATTTTTTAGTAAAAAATATTAATATTTTAACTATTGCTTAAAGGTATTATTAATAAAATATCAGTTTATTTGTGAATATTAATTATTAATAGCAGTATTAATGTCATATTTGAATTATATAGATGGAGCCTTTGTGAAGGAGGCGGCTCACCTCCCCCTTCCAATGTGAATTCCACAGGCTTGATGTCTCACCAATCACCAGTGGATTGCAATCAAGTCCTTTAATTTTTTTGTGTGTAAAAAAATATTTATGCGTTAAGAATTAAATATTAAAGATTTTTAATATGTAAATATTATCAAATTTAATATAATTTTTTGACATACGTTATTAAGAATTAAACTCTACCTAATGTGTTAAAGGATTTTAACTATTTATTAATTATGTCAGGCTTTATTAGTAGTGAGATCTTAATCTAGGTTGAAGATAACTTTTATCCTTTTATAACTGTGAAAATATTTATCATTACGGCATATTAAAACAATTAAGTAAGTTTATATTTTGCCCCGACAAGATCAACGTGGAATATTAGAATTCTGATAACTTTGACCAATGAGCAAAGGGTGATATGAACAATACGAAAATTGGGGAGAAAATTCAACCTCTTTTTAGGGGAAAGTTGAAATCACTCCGTGGTACTATAACTTAAATTCGTTAGACACATGAGTGTCATTATCCAAATACATAAGCTATTGATTTGATGCAAAATCATTTAATTTGATGGTCAGAGTTATCTGCTCGCTGAAATAAATAAATAAATAATAATATTTAAAACCCTAAATTTAAAGTAAACATATTCTTAAATTAGGAAAGTAATTAATACTCAACCCCCAGATTACTTAATTTCTATTTTACACTCCTAAGTTTTATTTTCTTTCAAAACCAATTCATGACAATATTATTTGAAGAATACGATATGTTTTTAACTATTAACGATTATAATTGTATCCCTTACACGATTCAAGCTATTTTTTCTTCATTTTATTCAACAGGTATAATCACTAACTAAAATAATGTGTTGATATTTTGGATCAAGAGTAAAATTATGAGTCATATATGTTAAAGGGAAAATAATATTATGTATACATGTTTATCGTTTTAGTTTAAAGTTGCAAGTGGTATTAAGAAGTTATTTTGAATATTTTAAGTTCGTTAAAAACAAATGATTCCATGTGCAGGACCACAAACTGCAAAGGGTAACCCACCCACGTCATTAGTTGCATTAAGTAAAGACAAAACAGAGTGATAGGCTATGGCTTCAACACCTCTCCTATTAATCCACGTCTGCTTGTACAGTGCCGAACGAGGAAGAAAATAAATAAATAACAACAAATTAATATGATAAGGAAAAAATATAATTATTAGAGATACGTGTATATATATACGTTTATCATTTTTGTAAAAATATAAAAACATTGTTTTAGCCTTAATTATAAAAATATTTTTATATATTTATTTAATATATCTAATAAAAATTTTATATAGTATTTTGTTATTAAAAATCACATAATTCACTCATTTATATTACTGTTATAACTTGTAATAAGATGTGTGTCGTTAATACACGTTAAAGACTTTAATATTTATTGAAAATGTTATTATTATTATTATTATTATTATTTTTTATTATGCGTCACATATAACAAATTTTTTATTATTACGAAAATCGGTGCTAAGTAACTAAAATTTCAGACCCCCAATTGTTTTTGCGATCTTTTGTTTTAAAACTAATATTAAATAGTTTTTTTATTATTTTTAAAACATGTAAATTTGTAATAAATATGTCATTAATAATTAAAGATATTGGCATAAAAATAATTTGTACTTATTTTAGTTCGTTAAAATTGAATTTAAATATAATATTTTTCATTAAAATAAAAGCATTCTCATATTAAAAATATAATAAATATTTTAACACTAATATTTTTTAAAAAAGTTTACTTGCATGTTTAATTTAATTTTAAAAAACTTGCCATGGCTCCATACGTTTCTCTTCACGTTCTCGACTACTCTCCATTAACAAACACTTCGGTCAAATTTTCAAGCTCTTGCCGTCAGCTGATGTGTTTAAAATATTGTGTTTTAAGAATATAAAATAACAATTGGTAAATAATTTAAAACATTATATTGGGATGATATTGAAAATTATGAATAGATGCGTTTTTTTATTAATATTTTATGAAATATTGTTTTTGTATTTATATTTTTAAAATACAGCAACCCTTAACTATTTTAAATAATATACTTTTAAATATTTTGTTGACTTATTCTACTTCAACGTTCTAACTTGACAAGGACATGTTTTTAATTAATTTAAAATATTTATATTTTTGTCTATATTATTGTACTTTTTATTAAATATAATTTTATCTTAACCTGATAAAATTATTACATACAACAAAATTTATTTATTTAAATATTTAATATAACTGTATTTAATAGAATTAAAATAAAAATTAAATTAAAATAATCTCTTACTAACTAATTTATATGTTTCGTAATTCAAGTCTTCTTAAATGATATATAATTTAATTAATAAAATATAAAATAATATCATACTACACAATTTTACTTATAGTTAAATTATTCTTGAACTAATCCATAACTGCTAGTAATTTTTAAGAGTTAAATTAAAAAAAAAAAAATCCGTGCGGTGTTATACAAAAAAAATTTTTTTTTTAACCTTTTATCCAAATATTTTTTACCATACGAATGTTTTTTATCAACTTCGAAAAACATAATAAACGCTCAAGAATGTCAAGGGACGTTCTAGAAGAGCGAGTGTAAAGCACTCTCTTTCATCCTATTCACGATAGTAGCCAAATCCCAAAACTCAAATGTTCGCGAAGAAGCTGAGCACACGCGCTATAGTGGTGCGTATTCAAACGGTCAACTATTTCCGCTCAAGTAAAGTATAATCGAATCACAATATCACAATTTCTTTTTTGAGTGCATCGAATCACAGTATCATACTTCTACACTTTTTACCAGGAAAAAAAAAATGCATACATGTAGACTGTGTCTGCATCTTCTATTTATTTAATTTATGTAATATGTAATACCTATTTTATTTTCTTTTCTTACAATGCAATACCTAATTTGATTATTTTGTTGGGTTGCTTAAAACAAACCTGAATTTTAACATCAATCAATAAGTAGAGTTTAAAGGGGAAAGAGAAGAAGGAATCCGTGATCTCCATTTTCTTCTGCAGTAGCCAACAACCAATCCAACCTGTAAGAAACCCTAGCCCTTCTCTCCGAGAATCCTGCAAAAATGGGTTGGGATTTGAGCATTTGAATTAGCGAGAACTTGCAAAATTGGAGGAAGATTTTAGAACATTCCGATCTGCTTTACGTTTTCATCGATCACCATTTTATTTTATTTTATTTTATTATGTATCTTATTGTAGTTAGTTTAATAGCTTCCATGCCCATCATCATCGTCACCAACCTCCCAAATCGAAACACCATAACCGGAAAAGCCAAGATCTTCAACGACCCGTTAACCGGAAGAGTCTCAAAACCCAGACTTTAGCTACACCTACTTCTCAGAATCCTTTCTTTCACCGGAAGAAGCTCGTATGCCCCAACACCCACAAAGAGAGAAAGAGAGAGAAAATAGTGGCTATGGGAGCTGAGAGAAAATGGCTTTTCACGCTATTCAGTGCAGCATTCCTATCCCTCATGCTTCTGTTGATGTCTTCCTTCTCTGCCTTTAGCTCTCCAAAGCCTTTTCCTTCTATTGTTCAACGTGGTTCTCATTACCCTCCTGCGTTTGCATACTTTATCTCTGGTGGACACCAAGATAAGAACCGGATCTTTCGTTTGTTGTTGGCAATCTATCATCCTAGGAATAGGTACCTCCTTCATCTTGGGAGGGATGCTCGGGATGAAGAGAGGCTGGCTCTGGTTGCCGCCGTGAGGTCGGTGCCGGCGATTCAGGCTTTCGGGAACGTTGATGTGGTTGGCAAGGCTGATTGGGTCACCTACTTGGGATCCTCCAATGTTGCTATCACTCTCCGTGCTGCGGCTATTATGTTGAAATTGGATAGTGGGTGGAATTGGTTCATCACTTTGAGTGCACGTGATTATCCTCTGATTACTCAGGATGGTATGCCTATTGGTCCTTTCTGTTTGCTTCATGGACTTTGTGTCTTGAATTTGATTGTTTTGGTTGATTCAGTTTGAGGATTGGTGACTCAATATTGTGAATTTTATTTTGAGTGATCTAATATTGGGAAGTAGTAGTTTGGTGCTTGTTGGCAATTTTCTGAAAATTTTTAGGAGTTTTGTTTTGGTTTTCACTTTTTGTTTCTTTAGTTGACCCCTTTTTTGTCAGGTTCGCTTGTCTTAGGAATTTGAGATTTGGTATTAACTGGAAAATTGATCTCTTTAGAATTCAATTTTAAATGAATGAGTTTGCTCCTGGATTATGGTAAGATGCTGTCTTATCAATTATCATTTGAATCTTTCACATGATCAACTTGAATTTTATGTAAATCAGTATAAGTATTGACATATTTTTTTCTTTTTAAATTTCTCTAGGCATCCCAATTTTGCCTCCTTGCTTTGAATTTTCATGAATTCCAATTAGGTCTTAAAAGAATTTCACATTGACGTACATATAATATCCTTTTATGTGATAAAATGACACTTTCTGTAAGTTTTCATCTTTTTAGATTTTTTTAGTTTAAATACTGAAGTTTAAGAATTATACCATTTAAAAATTATTGAAATTTCTTCACATTATATTGGTTGCTACAGGTTAATTGAACTGAGGCCTGACCATTCTTATTTTGATTTTCCAAATAAATTTAAATTTAAATTTACTGGGAGCTGACCATGATTTAGGCTGTAGAATTGAAAACGTGTTGGATACTGAGTTGAAGAGACAGGTTTTCCAGATGATTAGTTGTTCATGCATAAGGACTGTGTGGTAGCAGCTAGGAGATGAAACCAAGACATAAGTTGAGAGGGAGCTGAAAAGGGGGAAAAGGTATAGGGATTACTGGTGCGGAGAGGGGAATGCGGAGGTAGAGATGGTAAATAAAAGGGTATTTAAGGGGGATAGGTCAGGGGGCACTTGCCCTTCGCTGTGCCTTTGGTGGTTACAGCCAAAAGGCAGAAGTTACTGTTCTATCGTAACCAAATAATAAATTCAGAGACAGAGATACTTCAAACTCATCTCTCTATACCGAAGAAACTCCACCAAAATTCTTCATGTATTTGGTTCAGTTTGCTAGTGAATGGTTTTAGGTCATTTTATGTATTTGACGTCATTTTATTTGTTTAACCTTGTTAGGTTCAACCTGTTTGTGAATGCATTTCACATTCCAACCAAAATTGATTTTGCTTAAGCATGTTTGACAAACTGCTTTGGCATTGCATATTAATCTCCTGACGGAATTGATTAGTTCTGAGCTGGAGATTGTATTTTATGCCTTGGATTGCTGAATATCTTGAGTGCTTATGATTGCAAAATCTGATAAGGGGACCAAGTCAATTCTACTGATTGTTGTTATCTGCTGATGAATTGATAAATTGAAATACTGATCTTGTTATACAGATCTAGTAAGACTGGAGGCATGGGCTTCTAATTGGAGGAGATTTTTAAGCATCCTCACAAAGTGGAGTATCAAGGTGGAATAAAGTTTTTGATAGTGAATTAACAGATAGTTTGACTGATATGGTGGCAGGAGGACGTAATTTAGCATGCTCAAATGTAACAAATAGTTTTGAGCCAAAAAGGTTATCATAAATAGTGATAAAAGAAGAAGAAAGTTGTAGATACTAAAATGTTTCAAGGGGAGTATACCACAGTTCAATCATTAGTTTAAGTGCTTTTATTATGCTTTTGTGGAAACAAGGAAAATTGGTTATATTTCACTCTGATATACTCCTGCAACTGGGAAGCATAATCATAAATAACAAAAATGACATGTAGATATTGGCATGTTTCAAGTAGGAGCTTACAGCATATTTATAAGAAATTCTTATATTTCAAACACTTCCATTATCATTCTGATAACAAAAGAGGGGAAAAAACCCATGCAATTCAAGCTATGTGCCTGCTAATGGATACTATCAGTTGTAAATGAAAAGTCAGAGATATCACTAAAGGGCACTTGTCCAAGAAACTGAGTAAGATTTGATTTTCATCATATATGGGGTATACTGAAAAAACATTTTGCTATGTTGGCAACCAGAGATGGGCTTTTTAAGCCCCAATATTTGAGATCACTAGTGTGGCATTCAAGCACAAGCTTATTGTTTATACTAGAATCTCTGAAGGGATTTCATATGCATTGGGCTGGCTGATCTGAAAATATTTTGTTTGACTAAAAATTATTATTAGCCTGTAGATTGGCAAGTGGCAACATTCTATTATGCATTGGTTCTCCTAGACCCTAGTTGTGGTATGGCCTTGTCGATTGGAATAAACATTTACATTTACTGGTAGAGCTGAACATCTTTATTGGTTTGGCTATGACTTATTTTAGATGCGGTACAAGAACATTTACATTCATTAATTTATTAATTTTTTCCTGACTTTATTCACTGGATTATGTTTTTTTTAAGGTCAATAGATTTCTCGTTTGTTCATATTCTCAAGTCAGTTTGATGTTTGCTTACTTTCCATACTTTTCTTACTGACCGACCCATGCTCTGTTATCTTTATCAGATCTGTCCCACGTATTCTCTACCGTTAGGAGAGACCTGAATTTCATTGATCACACTGGTGACCTTGGATGGAAAGAGTACGAGAACTACTGCTAACATCTAGCTATTACTTTGGCGCACTTATTCAGTTTGTCCTTGATGTTTTATTTATGTATTTGTGTCCGTGCAGGGGTGATAGATTCCAACCTATTGTTGTTGACCCTGGGCTATATTTAGCAAGGAGAAGTCAAATTTTTCAGGCTACAGAGAAGAGGCCAACACCTGATGCATTCAAACTATTCACAGGCAAATCTTTTCTTCACATCCTTTCCGAACACAATCTATGCCTGTGAAGTTTTTTTATTTTTTTATTGAATGCTTTCCTTCCCTTACAGGTTCGCCATGGGTCATCTTGAGCCGACCCTTCCTGGAGTTCTGCATTTTTGGTTGGGACAATTTACCTCGAACACTGCTGATGTATTTTACAAATGTGAAGCTATCTCAAGAAGGCTACTTTCACTCGGTCATTTGTAATGCACCAGAATTTAAGAACACAACAGTAAATGGTGACTTACGATATATGATCTGGGACAATCCGCCAAGGATGGATCCACACTTCCTAAATGCCTCTGTTTATAATCAGATGGTAGAAAGTGGTGCTGCTTTTGCAAGACAGTTTGAAGTTGATAACCCTGTGCTGGACTTGATTGATGAAAAGATCCTCAAACGTGGTCGCAGTCGAGCTACTCCCGGAGCATGGTGCTCTGGGAGGAGGAGCTGGTGGGTAGATCCATGCTCCCAGTGGGGTGATGTCAATATTGTTAAGCCAGGTCCTGAGGCTAAGAAGCTTGAAGGGTCTGTTTCTAGCCTTCTTGATGACTGGAGCTCCCAGACCAATCAGTGCCAGTGAATAGACACAAAAATAGAAACATTTTAGGAGCTGTGCAGGCTATTGCACCTCGATTCATTGACCAGTAGAAGTCGCCATTTGCTGAAAGCACATTCTTTGGTCTCCAAAGTGTAATATCAATCTTGGAAGAAGGGACTCCTGTCATAACAGTGTTTGTAAGTGACTGTTCATAACAACACATCAGAGTTTGGCTGTATCGTTTTGGAAGCTTAATATTTGTGGTGGATCCTCCATTTCCTTCAATCGGTAGGAGGGTATTCCGTCATGATTCCATTTTCATCATGTTGTATGTTCTGTATGTCTCCTCATTACCTTAGTGATTCTGGACGAGTAGAGCAGAAAGTTCATTCTTTTTAGATATACTTGTCATTTTCCAATTTCTTACCCTTTCCCTTTGCAACTTTTATATTGGATTTTTGCTAGTTCTATTATATAGCTTTCCACGTGCTGCATGTTACTGACTAGCAGATTTTCAGATGGATGGAAGATGTTAAAAGATGGTAAGTGGGGGGGATCAGCGGTTCCTCAACTTTATTGGTGTTGAATCTAGTAAGTGAAACAGTGACGGCTCAGTCCTTTGGAGGGTTATGTGAAATTGTCTCATAGTTCTAAAAAAAAAAGTCTTCGTATAGTTCTCTGGGCCACATAATGGTGCCCCCTTCAAGTTTTAGACCCTCGGTGTTATTATTTTAATATTTATTTACAGAATTTTGATATTTGATAAGTTAGTTATCAAAACTTTTAAATTGCAGTTCTGATCTTCAATCTTCTTAATACTTCTAACAGAGTGCTGAATTTTTTTAAAACATCGTATTTTTTTAATGTAATTACGGTAGGTCTAAATAAAGTCATTTAGTATTTTAATGTGCATCTAAATATGCATGAACATCACATCTCTTAGTGTTGTTTATTTTCTTCTTAAATTTTAGTGCCTTCTTGATTCATTCTACATAGTATTTGTTACTTTTTTACAATATTCACAAATGTATCCCTTTACAGTATTGATTAAAAAATTAACCAAAAAAAAAAGATTTTTAATATATATATATATATATATTATTTTATTTTTTAAACGGAAGACCCTTTTTTAGTAAGATCCAAATTTTTTACTAAAATATTACTTAATTTAAAATGAAAAGAGGAATAATAAAACTTTGAGCTCGTAAACACAATCATTAACAAGTGAATGAAGGTACAAAAGAATGGATTATAAAAATGATTATTTACCAAAGTGGTATAAATTGCGTACTATCTAGTTCACAGTCTCATTGAATGTTAACTTTAAGTGGTCCCCAAGTAGAAATTTTAAGAAAACATACCTCGTAGGTGCTCTTTGTTAGAGCAAGAGATGGGAGCATCTTTTTACTGAAAAACAAAGTTTTATGAACAGACATACGGCAATAAAGGGTAATTTTAAACAGAAATTTTATGCTGTCCTTTTTCAAAAAGTTAACTAAACATTTATAAATTGTAAAACTCAGTTAAAATTTTAATGAAATTATAAGGACTTATATCAGTTTACATGGCCGAAGAGGTGAAGCTGCAAGCTGAATCACCCAAAACAAATAACCATGGCACCTCCTAAATTTCCAATTAGGTTTCCAACTTCCATGGCTCTTTTACGATCATACAAAAAATTGACCAACCCCAATCTTGTTCCACTCTCAAAATCCCTTTCACCTTCATCAAGTTCAAATCTTGAGCATCATCACTCCATACCCACATTCCAACTCACCCAAATCCCATATGGGTTTCCAAAAATTCACACTTCTGCCTCTCACACAGACGCCGAAACAATCTGCAAAGTCTTATCAAACACTCGTGATTCCACCGTCGACGCCTCTCTCCGCAATGTTCCGGTGACTGCGTCGCCGGAACTGGTGGTTGAGGTTTTGAACAGGCTCAGCAATGCGGGTGTACTCGCGCTTTCGTTCTTTCGTTGGGCAGAGAAACAAGAAGGGTTCAAACACACCACAGAGAGCTTCCACGCTTTGATCGAGGCATTGGGTAAGATTAGACAGTTCAAGATGATTTGGTCTTTGGTGGATGACATGAATCGCCGAAAGTTGCTTACTGGTAACACTTTTTCCTTCGTTGCTCGAAGATACACAAGAGCAAAGAAGGTCGACGAAGCAGTGGAGACGTTTGAAAAGATGGAAAAGTATGGCTTGAAGCCCCAAGTGTTGGATTTCAATAGGTTGATTGATGTTTTGTGCAAATCCAAGTTTGTTGAGAAAGCACAAGAGGTGTTTGATAAAATGCGGCAATTAGGGCTAACGCCTGATATTAAGTCCTACACCATTTTGTTAGAAGGGTGGAGTCAGCAGCAAAACTTGTTGAGGGTCGATGAGGTGTGTAGGGAGATGAAGGATGAGGGTTTTGAGCTTGATGTTGTTGCTTATTGTATAATTATTAATGCATACTGTAAGGCTAAGAAATATGACGAGGCCATTGGGTTCTATCATGAGATGCAAGCAAAGGGTACGAGGCCTAGCCCCCATATATATTCTACTTTGATTAGTGGTTTGGGTTCTGACAAGAGATTGCACGAAGCCCTTGAATTCTTTGAAAAATCTAAGGCTAGTGGTTTTGCACCTGACGCTCCCACCTACAATGCTGTTGTTGGGGCTTATTGTCACTCAATGCAGATAGATGATGCGTATAGGATGGTTGATGAGATGAAGAAACATGGGATTGGTCCGAATTCTCGAACGTGTGACATAATACTTCATCACCTAATAAAGGCTCGTAGAATTGAACAAGCTTGCTTGGTTTTTGAGAGGATGAGTGATGAGTGGGGGTGTGAACCAACTCTCAGCACGTATGAGATCATGGTTAGAATGTTTTGTAATGAAGAGCGATTGGATGCTGCAATGGCAGTTTGGGATCAGATGAAAGCCAAGGGACTCCTTCCAGGAATTAATATGTTCTCCATGTTAATCATTGCCTTGTGCCATGAAAATAAGTTAGATGAAGCCAGTAAATACTTTCAACAAATGTTGGATGCGGGCATTCGGCCACCTTCCAAAATGTTTAGTACCTTTAAGTATGCTCTAATTAATTCTGGGATGGAGAATACTGCCTTATATTTCGCATTGAAAATTGATAAATTGAGGAAATCGCCATTAGTTGCTTGGCACAAATAAATACATTATCAGTTTTGTATGCATACATGATTAATCCATTAGATGCAGAGATGTGAAAACTTTCATGTGATCATGCAAAAAGTGTCCATCTCTACCTTTGTGGACATTCACAAGAGATGGATATGAAATTCTTACCCAACAACTTATTATGTGAGAATTCTCTTCATCTCTGTTTTTTTGACAATGCAACGCGTCTTCTTCTTAATTTTGTTTTTTAAAAAATCATTACTGAGTTTTATTTATTTGTTATTTTCTTCATTTATATCTGTCTTGGCCTTTTATATATTTAAATATTTATTGTTTATGTTTATCATTAACAAATTGGAGAAAAATATATACTTTTTCATTCTCTCTCTCTCAAGTAACTAAGGAAAACAATTGTAGTTCAATTATTCAGTGTTGAAAATTATCGACCTAAATCAAGTTCAGATATTGTGAGAACTGTAAATGATTTCAGCGACTAGCACGTGTGTACTATGTTAAAGATCTTGACGAAATCCGAGCAAAATGATTATTATTAATTTTAAATTTTTGTAAAATCTATAAATGAAAATTATAAAGACTATCTTCCAATAATGATTATTTTATCCTATTAATTAATCATAAATTAGGAAGATAATATTCTGAATTTGATAAAAAGTAATAAAATAAAATTATTTAAATTAACATACACTATATTTATTGCTAATATTATAATATCTCAACGTTCAGTTTATTTTAAACAATATTTTTAATTTGATATAATGTATTAGTAGATTCAAGATTTAGAAGTATATTTAAATTTAAACTAGTTAAATTTAAGGAATGATGTTCGGAAAATAAAATTATAATTAAAAATACTCAACCAATTAATGTCATATATATATAATTTGTAAAACCAAAAACTCTAAATATTTTAATCTGCACGTGATAAATGAATACGGTAAGTCGGTAATCAGGTTTGGGCCTTAGTAAGCTCAACCCATTGAAGGAACGGACTTGTAGATGGTAGATGGTAGATGATAAGAGCCCAGTCTCTGGAATTTAGGAACAGTTTGGGAAGAGAAGATCCCAACCCTTATGCTCCACAGTAAGGTCTTCTCCACAATTCTTCGTTTTTCTTTTCCGCAGTTAACACATTCATTGTTTTCGTTCTCTTTTTCTGTTTCGCCGTTTACCTTGTACCACCAAACATTGTTTCTTCTTCTCTCCACGATTCAATTTCGTTTAGATTCTTTTTCACTCGCTTTGCGCGGAAGAATCTGGTAAATAAGAATTTTTTTTCTTCTTTTCGTTTTATTACCACCTCTCGATTTCAATAAAGTGAAAATTTTCTATTTTAATTTACATCCGAATAAAAGCGGAGTCTATGTATTGTGTTTATTTATTATAATATGTATCATCAATAATCTTGTATTAGGGTTTTTGTTGTTGTGTGAAATAGTAGTGGAGGTGTTTTCCACTCAGGGCTTCATGTAAAGCATGATTTTGTGTGATTGTTACCTACTTCTCGAGCATGATAAGTTCAATTAATTTAATCTGAGCTATACTTTACTTTCTTTTGTTTTCATTGCAGGGGGTTCTGTTAGCAAGAGGCTGCTTTGGTGTTTCTTTCATTTTTGCTTTACATGAATACATAGAAGTTTTTCAGTGTTTTAGTAATTCACATCATGTTAGGTTCATTGCCTATATTGCCTCTTCCTGCTCCTCCTTCTGATGGAAATCTAGGTCCTCTCCCTGAGGCTCAACTCTCTGAGAATGAGAGGGATGAGAAATTCTCTAACGAGGAGCAGAAAAATTTAGCTTCTGTTCCGGTACCGGCAACAGTTGCCACCCACACTAGAACTATTGGAATTATACATCCCCCTCCTGACATTAGAACCATTGTTGATAAAACTGCCCAGTTTGTGGCTAAAAATGGTCCAGAATTTGAAAAGAGGATTATTGCAAATAACACCGGCAATGTCAAGTTCAATTTCTTGAACTCATCAGATCCTTATCATGCGTATTACCAACACCGGTTGACTGAATTTCGTGCTCAGAATCAGTCTTCTTCACTGCAACCTCTGTCGCTGCCTGCAGATTCAGCTATTCCTGAATCTGTCCCGTCTGCACCAACGCCTGATAGTAATGGTGTAGTAGCAGCAGAAAAGCCTGATGTTTCTGCCCAGTTTAAACCTGTAAGGAAAGTACTTGAACCCCCTGAAGCCGAGCAGTATACTGTTAGGCTTCCTGAAGGAATTACAGGGGAAGAGCTGGATATTATAAAGCTTACAGCACAGTTTGTGGCCCGAAATGGGAAATCTTTTTTGACAGGCTTGACAAGTAGAGAAGTTAACAACCCCCAATTCCATTTTTTAAAACCAACCCACAGCATGTTTACATTTTTTACTTCCCTTGCTGATGCATATTCAAAGGTTTTGATGCCTCCAAAGGGTTTGACAGAGAAGCTGAAGAAGAGTGTCTCTGACATGACTACTGTCCTTGAAAGGTGTGTGAATAGGCTGGAATGGGAGCGTTCACAAGAGCAAGCTAGGCAAAAGGCTGAGGATGAGATAGAGCAGGAAAGGATACAAATGGCTATGATTGATTGGCATGATTTTGTGGTGGTTGAAACAATAGATTTTGTTGATGATGAGGATGAAGAATTACCTCCTCCAATGACTATTGAGGAGGTTATAAGGAGAAGCAAGATGACAGCCATGGAAGAGGATATTGTTGAGCCAGGAAAGGAGGTTGAAATGGAAATGGATGAGGAAGAGGCCCAGCTTGTTGAAGAGGGCATGCGAGCTGCTAGTTTGGAAGATAATGATGATGGGAAGCAAAATGAAGTGAGGGTTACTGAAGATCCTGAACCACCAATGAGGATTGTGAAGAACTGGAAGAGACCTGAGGAGAGGATTCCTGCAGAAAGAGATCCAACCAAGTTTGTTGTTTCTCCTATCACTGGTGAGCTAATTCCTATTAGTGAAATGTCGGAACATATGCGAATTTCTCTCATTGATCCCAAGTACAAAGAACAAAAAGAAAGGATGTTTGCCAAAATTCGAGAGACAACTCTGGCTGCGGATGATGAAATCTCAAGAAACATTGTTGGACTTGCTCGGACCCGTCCTGATATCTTTGGTACTACGGAGGAAGAGGTTTCCAATGCTGTCAAGGCAGAGATTGAGAAGAAAAATGATGAGCAACCTAAGCAGGTTATATGGGATGGTCACACTGGTAGCATTGGCCGCACTGCAAACCAAGCCATGTCACAGAATATTGGAGGTGAGGATCCAAATGATGCTTCTAATAATGAAATCAAGAACCTTCTTGGTCCTGCTGCACCTCCTCCAAGACCTGGTATGCCTTTAGTTCGTCCTCTTCCACCACCACCTGGACTGGCATTGAATCTTCCCCGTGTTCCTGTCCAATATTCTGCTCCTAATAGTGGTGCCCTTCCAATTCCTCCTCCCAGACCCCCAGTCGTTCCCATGATTTCTTCTGTTCGGCCAGCTCCCCCTCCTCCAATGCCAATGACTTCTGGACAGCAGCCAGTCATGGCTGGTCAACCGCCCCCAATGCATCCATCAATTCCTATGAATAGCCAAGGAATTCCCATACCTCCACCACCAGGATCTCAGTTTACTCCTGTTCCAGTTCCTCGACCTTTTGTTCCTCTTTCTGTTCCACCATCAGGTATGCCTATGATGCATCCACCACCTTTGCCTCAAGGAGTGCCACCGCCACCTCCACCAGAGGAAGCTCCTCCCCCTCTCCCAGATGAACCGGAACCAAAGAGGCAGAAGCTTGATGATTCTGCTCTGATCCCTGAAGATCAATTTCTGGCCCAACATCCGGTATGGGCATACCAATTTAACAATTAGTATCGTTTTAATGTATATAGCAACATATTTATCGTGAATGCTATTTTGTCTGTCCTAACTGGCATTATGCTTTGTTTACTCTAGGGACCTGTTCGCATCAGCATATCTGTTCCTAATGTTGACGAAGGAAATCTCAAAGGACAAGTTCTGGAAATTACAGTTCAATCTTTGTCTGAAACTGTTGGCAGTCTAAAGGAAAAAATTGCCGGGGAGATACAGCTTCCAGCTAACAAACAGAAACTGAGTGGAAAACCAGGCTTTCTCAAGGATAACATGTCACTTGCCCATTACAACGTTGGTGGAGGAGAAACACTTGCCCTCACCTTAAGAGAGCGTGGTGGTAGAAAGAAATGAGCATATTTCTTGCATTACCATTCAAGAAGGTTGTTGTAATCTTTGCCTTATCATGAGGCATATGGATTCTTATAGTATTGATAGACTACATGATGTTATTTATTTTCATGAATTTTATGTTGAATACCTTATATTTATTGTACTGTGAGACTTCTTGAAGGATTTACTGTTGTCTTGAAGACTGATGTTAATTCTGGAATACAGATTTTGGCACCTTGGCGCTTATCTCTTGAGGGGAATGGGAAGTAGTGGAGTTCCTTTATCTAATCTGATCAAGACAAATTATTTGTTTCACTGATTATTGTTTTATTTTGAATTTCAGTTGGTTTATTGCTAAGTTAATGATTTGTTTTTGATCGAAGCTCCATTGCTGTCAGGGAGGGGATCATTTACATATATTTTAAAATTTTGTTCATTTTCAACATTCTTGCAATATCAATGTGAAGTGATGATTTAGGGTTTTTTGTCTTTGCCTTAGTGTTTAGGTTTTGTCTTATGTTGGATATGTTCATACAAGAACATAATTGGACAGTTGGTTAGAAGGCCGTTTCAGTTGCTGAGCATATTTATCTTTAACTGGTGTGTCTTGTTTGGGGTTTAGTCACGTGAGGTTTTATTTTGCCGTTATATATATCCTTAACCTAGATTATTTCCAGTTTTGGTCCGGTTGTTTTTTGATTTTTCTGTTTTGTCATAACAGAATTCTACTTGGACATGTGGGAAAGGCTGTGCAACTTAGCCTTATGTGTTTGTGAATGGGATGAGGCAGGTAGAATGGTCAACAATCTTTTTTGTGCTGTTATAATCCTTACATTAAGATCCTTTACTACTTTTTTGCAAGTTTTGTTCTGATGGCAGTTTGTACCTGCCAATTTATTGCAGAACGGACCAGGTTTGGTAATTTAGAGAAGGCACGGATTCACATTTCATCTTTTGGGGGATATCTTATGGAACTTTCAGTTTGAGATCACTTGCCGATGATCTTGATTGAGATTAGTTGGTCATGTTAAATCCTATTCTGCTATAGTTGATTTGAGCTACAATTTGCTCTGTGCCTTTGTATCTTCATTTCTCTCTGCGTGAGATTGTTAGTATGATGGATTGGAGCCCCTTGTTTGACTCTATGGCTTCACAAGTTCGAGACTGGTTTAGCCTGGTAGCTCTAGTGTTCATTATTTCTTTTTTGTTCATTAGGTTACTTGAGTTGTGGAAACGGGACAGCAACTCTGATGGCTAAACTCATTGAAGTTTGACACGATTCTGTTTCGCAAATTGCTAGGATTATGACTTTTCTTACAGTATGCTATTTTGCACCTTTTTGGTAACCTTTAAAAGATTTTGGGTCTGTCGAAAAACCTTGTAGAATTAATTTATGATTCTTGAAAGTTCTTTTAAGTTTATTTCAATAATTTTATAGTATAATTTATTATAATAAGTTGTTTTTTGTTTGTGCTAATAAATTATATAGTACAAGTCATTATTTTTAAAAAACTATTAAGCAAGTATTTAATTATGTATGCGCCTTTTACATTACTGCACCATTTATAGTAACTGGGGATTGTACTAAGCTAAGCAACAAGTCATTATTAAGCTTGAGGTGAGGATATGAGGGAGTCGGTGAGCGGTTCAAGTCCTCTCACCCAACTCAAAATAGAAAGAAACGTTTCCGTTTGATTCTTTTGCAGAGTCAGGATATAGAAAGATTTGAGTTTCATTTGGTATGGATTTTGGATCATAGGATGGGGACTGTTAATTGCAGTTGAGCTTTCATTTTAGATTAATTGCTGTATTATAAAAGAAAATAAATATTCAATTTAGTCCTTTAAAGAATAGATTTTTGCAACGGTAATCATCAACGTTTTTTGTCATCATTCTTTAAACAAACCTAAAACTTTCAACCTCCTGACCTGTGCAAATGATTTTTGGACGATTTAAAAAATAACATAAAAGTATTTATCTTTAAATTATGAAAATGATGTTTTTCACTTGGTTGGATAAATGTTAGTTAATAAATATTTGCTTATAAATTGATCACATCAAAAATATATTCCTAACTTCAGTAGGAAGTGAACTATTTCTTAAGGCATCGCCAATAAAACTGTTGATTGCAACAAAGTTAAAATCCAAAGAAAAAAGTAATAAAAATTTTAAGAAATGTTGTAGGTAAAATGAATGACATTTTATAGCAAAATAAGGTTAATAAGTTATAAAAAAGACATAATATACTATTTTCGATGCCAATGCTATTCTTGAGGGAAGGGTAGCCCGTGTATGCACGGGAAAAAAGTAGTACCAGATTTTTCAACGCAACAAGCTGCAAGCAGGGAACACGAAAGCCTCCGAATTGCATATTAGACCATGGATGGTCGCAGTGCTGAACTTCAGGTTTTTAATACCAATTTCAAGAATTGGTATTCTTAAAATATAGGCTTCTTGTGAGAGCTTCCACAAACGTGCTACCAGCAAATCGTACTATAACTTAACTGGGCTTAATTTATACAGATTAAATCTTTAAATTGTGAAAATGTTAGGAACTAAATATTAGTACCTGAGTATGAAATTATACGGTAGAATTGGAATTGATTTTTAAAATTTTAATCATTAGTCCACTTTAATTCCTAGGTTATACTTTAAAAATTTGAATTTCTAATATTATAAAATATACTCTTTCTTTAAAAATTTTATTCATTCTTTCTTCTTTTTTACATTTATGTATGTTTATGCTACTTTATCTCATGGTGTTATAAATGTCAGCATTCGTATACTTTCATCTAATTTATAAGAAAGATAATTCATAACATAATATTAAATTTTAATTATAAATTAAATATAAAAAATAAATCTATTGTATCATGATTTTTTTAAAAAAAAATCAATTATTATTTAATTATATCATCTTTAAAAATTTATTTAATAATTGTTTTTGTATTTTTACTTAACACATTATTTTTAAAAAATTTATTAAATAAATTTTTAGTACAAAATTAATTTAAAAAAAATCTTACATTATATTATAAAATTTTATTTCAATTTAGAATTCTAATTCTTTAAATATGTTAAATATAAAATTATATTCTAAATTAATTTCAATTATAATAAAATTGGAATTAGAATTATAGCTTGAACGTTAATTCTAATTCCATATACTAAACAAGCCAATGAATTTTAAATGAAATATTGTAAGTATTTTTAATTTTAATTTTAATAATTCATAAATCATTAAATATAAGTTTTATTAAAATAAATTTATAATTTGTTAATAAATAACAGAAATAGTACTTAAAAAATGGTATGTAAATTTTATCTTATTTGTTATTGGTTATATTATTTTAAAAAAAATTTATAATGATATTTTTTATCTTTTATACTGTCATATCATTTGTTTTATCACTATTTTTATTTTTTCTGGTTTGTTGTTGTGTTAAAATTAAGAAAATAGCTCCAAAATAAACAAATTTGTTTGATTTCTTACGGTCTTATTATTTTCATTTTTTATTTTTACTTTTAATCATAAAACTATCCGTTATCATATTTTTATTATGTTTCTTGTTTTTATACAAAATATCTAATTTTCACTAATTTTTGTATAAATTCTTAAAAATGAAAAATAAATTACATTTTATTTTAAGTAAAATGAGGTTATATGACCATTCTATTACAAGTGTCAAATTAAAATAAATTAATTATTATAAATTTAAGAAACTATTTAGTTTTAAAAATATTTTTATCTCTATTTTTTAAAATATTTTATATAAAAATAGTAAAACAAATATTTTTTTATTAATTTAACACAAATGTTTACTGTTTTTTAATTTATTTTTATTTAAAAATTCATATTATACACGAAAAAATTGCTAGTCCCTGTTAAAATATAGGGACGTATTTAAAATTTTTCAAATGATTCATAGAACTACTTAATAATCAAATTAATGATTTAATTTTGTATTATTTAAATGTTTTCGTTTACTTTCATATACTTTAACAGAGATAAAATAATATTTGGTCTTTCAGAAACTTAATCGAAGAACTAGATAGAAAATAATTTGTAAATAAAAATAAATAAATACAAATTTTAAAATATAAAAAAAATTAAAATAATTTATAGAGTAATGTGTTAATTTTTAACCTAAAAAACATATTTTCTTACTAGTTTTAAGTGTAAGGGAAAAGAAAGGGGAGGCACAATTCTTACTCCCTGTGAATTGGAAGTGAAAGGAAGCAACGAGAATTCATCACTGTACACTCATCCATCGGTAATTTCTACTTCAGAGAATGGATTTTCTTCTTTTTCGATTAAAATTGTAATAATGATAGATATCCGCATAATTCGTATAGGCGTTGTTGAACGAACAACTCTGCGTTATTTCTTCGATTGATTTCCTCTTCTTAACTGAACTTCGTTCCTTCAACACACGCTGCTTTTTTTCTTTTTTTTTTTTATGGTTTCCTTGTGTGTGATAATACTGCAAATATTGCAATTGCAAGAATTAGGTTATGGTTCTTCATTCTCATAACTGCGTGAGTTTAGATTTGAGTTCCAGAATGTATTGTAAAGCTGTGTTTGTTGATTCTTGAATGCTGAAATCGAATTTTAAAGCCAATGCAATTTTGAATATGTATACTTGTGCGTGCGTGCATATACATATACATACAGATGACCTTTGTGTTTCTTATACACGTAGCAGTTAAATTTTCGCAAGTCAAAATTTCCTTGGGAAAGTTGCTCTTGTAATGGATATAATCTCTCAGTTACAAGAACAGGTTAACTTGATAGCGCATTTAGTTTTTAATACCATTGGTACATTGCAAAGGGATGCCCCTCCTAATCGTCTATCGCCAAATTATCCTGAACCACCCGCGCATCCAGCGGAGGATGGGGCAAATTTTTCTGAACAGCCAAAGCAGATGAGTGCTGCTTTGGTGAAGGCTGCTAAGCAGGTATGTGGCATTTAGTTAAAAGTGAAAAGGTGTATAGTATATGATACTGAGTTGACGCCGGTGAAGAGAGGTTGTAGTTTGTTACTACTAGACTATGAAGCCGATCCATGCCTCAAAGAACACAACACACTAGATATATATTGCAAAATAAAATTATATTCTAAGGATTGTTAAAATGACGTATAAAATCGTTAGCAGCTAAGCAAGTATAAGAAAATATATCAAAGATAAATATGTTTAGAAACTTTCTAAGAAGCTGCAAATATGGAAATGTAGAATTCATATATCTTAAAGAATACTGCCCAAATGTGGTGAAGTGCTAATGCTTAGTACGTTGAGTAATTCAGTTGAAAAAGGGGGAACCCTTGGAAGGTGATTCAGCACCTTGGTTCTTTCACAGAACAACAGAATTCTTTCATTCTCTGTCATATTCTCTCATCTTTCTTCTCTATGACCAATCCTAACAATAGTAGATAAACAAGGTGTGGTATCCAGTATTCCAGTTGCATGGTGCCAGTTCAGAAATTTTAAACCAATATTGACCATATGCATATAACCAAATTAAACAATTAGAGTCTAGCCTCTATTTTTACTGTTTTTCACACTTGTACCTCATTATGTATCATGCCTTATGTCTTCTATTTTGAACTAATAATTTTATTAGTTCGCTCATGAGTGGTCCATTGAAAATATATGTGGTTTCTTCTGCAGTTTGATGCTTTGGTTGCAGCGCTTCCAATATCTGAGTCAGGTGAAGAAGCACAGCTTAAGAGGATTGCTGAACTACAAGTATGGAACTCACAGCTCACGGACTGTTCCTTATGTGATTGATTGGTGTAGTTAATAATGAGTAGTTTAATTGTAACAAACAGTGTTTATGATTTTACATTGTTTATGGATCTACCTTTCAGGCTGAAAATGATGCAATAGGCCAAGAACTTCAGAAGCAATTAGAAGCTGCAGGTCTGTGTCCAGATTCCTGTTTATCTCTGAAGTCTGAACTTCTATCTTGATTTCTCTTTACAACACATGAAAGGGTAAATTCGAGTTAAATAGCAAAAATAAATTTGTGAAGTTCTTGGATCAGTAATATTCTTTGAAAAAGATGTCCTGGTGCATAACTTTCATGTGTAGCAAATATCAGCATTGTGTTTAATTTGATGAACAATGGAAAATACCAAAGGGGTTTGTTCATGTATTGAGCATTTTGTAGGCCTGTACAGCTGTAGTAATTTGGTAACGGCTGACATTCATCTGTGGTTGGCTTTGTATGGATTCATATTGAAACCAAGTTCCTAAAAGTAATGAGAGTTGTATTGTGCATTCACTTATTGTTTGTACTGAAAATGAAAATTTTTTAAAATAATAAATGATTTATGCTTTTATGGACTGTAGGATGTTGAGAAAGTATGCGACTGCCTAACACTCTGTTCTTGATGTCAGAGAAGGAATTAAATCAAGTTCAGGATCTGTTTAGGCAAGCATCAGATAATTGTTTGAACTTGAAGAAACCAGATGTCAATTAGTTACTTGTGTTCCTGGCAAGGTCAGAGACGAATTAGGCTACAACTTAGAACCATCTTATCTTGACACAAAGCGGTGCCTGCTGCAGGAGGATTTCCTTTTTTGCATGAAGGCTTGGCTGCCTGAAATAGCAGTATTATTTCATATGTTGTAACTTGCGTATGACACATACGTTTGCAAGAGCTGCGTAACGGTCAAGATACTGGTAGTTATATTGTTCTTCCCGTAGGAAAGGCTTATATTCCTGTTAGGTGTTTTCATCAATACCATCTTTGTTCACATAAGCTCCACAAAGTAGACATTTTATAGTGTGATAATTTGAGAGTGAGCTCATGTACTTGTGTGATTTAATATCATTTACTGAGTAAAGTCATGCATAAAAAAAAGAAGAAGCTTAGAACATATTAGTACTTGATATGTTGCCTAAACATCAATTGCTGCAATTGTTTGAAACTAGCATGCATAACTGGTGACATTTATCATCTGTTGTTGCTATTAAAATATACTTTTACGATATAAAAAAAATTAAAACATGAGTGGCCATAGATTCAATTTTCTTCTATTTTAAATGAATTTTTTAATCATATTTCATTGTAATATTGGCAGCTTGGGGGTGAAGGGTATAGTAAGCTCTGTTGCATAGTAAGGCATATTTTATTTTCCTTAGTTAGATAAGAGTGCTTTTAATAGCAAGCACTCTTCGATCTGGTCAGAAGAAAGGAAAATGAAGCGCTGTATAAACATCGCGGCATACTCTAAACATTTCATGAATGTTGTACTGTCTGAATATAGTTCCAAATCTTTTAAACATAATTTAATTGATTTCAAAACAAGCATTTTATTGCCAAGTAAATAGCAATTATTTCATTTTTCAGTAAATAGGAAAAAAGGGATTCTTATTGGATATCTTCCTGGGAGTTTATTCTACTGCTCGCAATCAATGTTTGTTAATCACACCTATTATCATAAATTATTGGCCAACTATTCTGCACCTGATTGGAAATGAAAGCTACCACCCATTCTTGTAACGAGTGGAATAACTGATCGGTGAGCTGAACGCTTTTACATGAACAATGAGTAAACATTCTTTCACTTCGTTTTTTTTTTATTGAAAGGAGGGTGTTACCATGCAAAACTCATTTTTGTCAGTGAACGTATATTAACTTATAGTATGCCACAGATCATGAGCGAGGTTACCCTATATTTAACATAATTCACGAGAAGTCAAAGTGGTCTAATCTGTAAAATGTGCCGTTAAGATGTTCCATGAAGCTGTTTTGTCCAATCAAAATGATCCCACTCTTGGGAAAAGCTAGCAACTGCTTGCTTTTGTACCTCCACTGCCTCATACCGTCGACGCCTATACATGTCCTCCTCTGCCAAATGTAACATGCCTCTTATTACATTCAAGCCAAGGCTGCTCTTGAATTGCTTTTCATCGTCAATAACATGGACAAAACCCTTGTTTAGACCAAATTCAACGTGGAAATACGGAAAGTGCTTGGGAATTGAATTGCGCAATCCCTTTTGACTTGTATCAATAAGTTTCTTCGCATTGTGTTGGCTCCACTCATCTTCAGCTTCATCAATTGCCTGTGATGAACTCAATTTCAAAAGAGTTTAGAATTTTGAAATACACAAAGATTAAGATTTAATGAAAATATGAAGGATAAAAAGAAGTGTCGTCAACAACTACAAAGCACAATATCCAAAGGATCTTTTATCGAAAGCACTGGAATGAATACCAATAATCTCAAGGTAAAAACTGGGTAAATTAAGTGATAATAGAATTGCTAAAGAGCCATTCCTAGAATGACCTAATCCCTCAAATCAAATCCCATACACTAATTTCTATTCTTTTTAAGATGGGACAAAACCCAAGTCCAGAAAGAATTTCAGCTTCCCATCAAAACACATGAGAATGTCACGGAAGATATAGATCAAACTAGGAGAGTATCACTGCAGACACTTCACATGGTAGATCTTAATCTAATTACTCAAAAGGATCTCTGTTCCCAAGTTTAACCATTAGTTACAGACGTCTCTCTGAAGTAAGGCTTCTAAATTGCAAGGTTTGGTCCTTTATACCCTATGGAAACAAATCCCAGCATCTCTACACAAGCATTAGATATGACCACATACACTGATATAACAATTCATTGACTCAACTCTCAAGAAACCAAGAAAGAAACACTAGGTGATTAACTTTGTGCTGGCTTTTAGAAACAAAGTAGTGATATAACCATGCAACCTAATAGATTAATAGTTCATTTTATACGATGCATAGCATTGGTTCAGAAGAGATAAGTACACAATTCAGTATAACACAAGAAAACGATGTTAGGCATCTCACCTTTTTAAAGTATAAAGGAGCCTCTTTAGCAATTTCTTGGGGTAAAGGAATGCACTCAACCATACAGTGCCGACGTTGTTGTGCCAATCCCATCACAGTTTCAAGAAACACTACCTCCTTCTCTTGCTTAGCAAACATCATAATCAGGCACTTCTTGAAGTTTCGAATTTCTGTCCACACATTATCATCCACTGTTCTAGTAGCTGATTCATGCTGTCATACAAAACGGTAAGACAAAGTTGTAAGTGTAAAATTCCACAAAAATAAAATAAAAAAAATACATATACATATATATATATATATATATAATTACACAAATCAACTAACCCAAAAATCAGTTGACCACTTTCAATTTGCATCACATTTAGACAACTCAATGTTACTTCCAATGCAAGCAGGAATATTTCATTTTACCAAATTGTGATCACAATTTCAAGAAAGTAGCATGAAATACACTTTAATCCTCATTACTAAATTCTATTTGGATTTTTCCTGGATCCGCATCATTTATTTAAGAACGGTTCTAGTCACGAAGGAAAATCTTCACATGTTGCAAACATTGTTAATTGGCATCTTTTTCCGTATGAAAAACCATCAACTAAAGAATTTAATCAACCCCATATTGCTTTTGACCAGCATGAACTCCAAAATAAACACTTAACAGTAATAGAAATTGAACTCACCTGAATGGGTAAAATGCAGCAATGACCAGGCACCACAGGCTGCCACTGTGGCAACATAAGATATGTGAAATTTGCAATTGAAACAACAAGATGCATGGGCCGATTTCGATTCTCTAAACAAAAGAGGCAGCGCTCTTGCTGAGTCAAGAATCGATTTGCATTCATCTTTTTTTGATTAATCTTGTGGTCATCACCTCCTTGCTTCTTTCTACTCTTCCTGCTTGGACCATCTTCAAAGTCATATTCATCATCAGCCTGAGTAGAAACCTTGAACTGCTTGTTCTGCATTATTTTGTAAGCAAGATGCATATCAGCATCATCCTCTCCTTTCTTCTGCTCAGCAGATATCTTCTGCATAGCATACCTATAAAGGGTAAGAAGTCACCATTAAAACCATATGGAATAATGAAAGTTCACAAGAATAAATAATGCTGTAGAAACCAATAATAATAATAATAATAATAATAATAATAAAAATAGCACTACATCAAATATGTTCACAAACTTATTAAGAATAGAGAAACGCAAAAAACAAAAAAAAAAGAAGACAAAGTCACCCTCTATTTTGCTGCAATAAGAGAAATTTCACCTTGGACAGGATGTTTTCACATAAGAAATGAATAAATCAAGTGTGTATGGGACTAACGGGAACAAAATAACATATGTACAGAATTTGAAGACAGCAAAATACCTGCTAGAACTTCCCCCAGTTCTGGATCTAATTGTATTATCTTGATTTCCCTGCTTTGCATTAGTAACTTTTGCTTCTTGCTGCCCGCCAAAGTGAGAGCAAAAACCAGACAATGAAATCAAAATAATCATAAAACCAGAAGAATATGTTTTGTAGGCAATAAATAAACACAATAGACTAGGCTAGTCCCACCTTCTCCCAAAGTAATATAAAATAAAAGCAATAGGCAAAGGCAGATATTGTTCTCTTACAAGGCTAGAAATTTTTCAACTACTCCCCAGTTTCTTACCATCTTCTCACAAATCACCCTCCCGAGAAAAGGTATAGATAACATGAAAAAGAAGTCCAGAAAGTGTAAAATGTATAATTTCAGCACAAGTGATAAACCAATATGTCACAGAAAATTTTATAAACAATAACGAATACTGATGAAAAGCAAATTTGTCAATGCTGCATGGTCTGGAGAAACCCTGGATGCATTTATAATTCATTAATCATTATAGACTTTTCAAGGCACCTGAACCAGAGAAACCTGGTTTGTCCTAATTCTGGATTAAGGGTCAAAATCACATACATCGAAACACTTATCTGAGAAAACAGTTTGAACATTATGCCAAATTCAATACTGAACAGGTGCACAAATTTGTTAAGAAAAACAAACCATGATGCATTAGTTTCGAGCTCAAAAAATTGATAAGAGGCAAACAAAGTCAGAAAGTATAGAAAAGAAGGCATATTCTCTTATTTTATGGACTTACCATCAGTTTTTCAGCTTCTTGATGCTTTCCTTTCAAACGAAGTTGCATAGCCTTAGCCGCCAACTGGTTTGCACTCATCTCATTCTTGACTATTTCACTTCTTTCAACAGGTGTGTTTGCTTCTGATGAAACCTTTTCCAATTCAACACTTTCCAAAACAGAGCCATCAGAATTATTATTGGTCTTGCTAACAAAATCATGCATAAAGCTTCCATCATTCGCAAACTTATTTAGGCTAGACGCTGCAGCAGAGATGACCCCAGCACCCTCAGCTACAGCACGTTGGCTCTTTCGCTTTCCCCAAGATAAAGAATCTTGAACTTTAGGTGTTTTCATTTTATGGTCTCGAACAGAAACATCCTTTAAGTAGTCCTGGTGGCGTTTCATTAGCCAAAGTCAGTGAAGTGTAGTGGAATATGCTTCAGAATTCCAGAAAAATTGATATTATTTGTTTAATGTAAAACCCATAGAAGGAACAAGAAAGAAAATTGAAATAGTTCTCTTTTCGTTTTCAAAGTTACCCTTTTAGAATCCCTTCGACCATGCTTGTCAGAATCTGGTAAATTTTCTTCAGTTATCCCTTTTTGTCTATTTTTTATTGCACGTAGATGAGCACGAGCTGGGGCAGCTGCATGAGATGCAACAGATGCAGTAAACTCACCAAGAGAACCCCACCTTTCTTCCATAATCTGCACACGTATAATAAGAAGCAAAAATTTTACAAGATGGACAAAGCTATTTCATATATAGAAACAAGGAATATCTGTAAAGCAAGGCATAAAACCTCATGAATGTTTCCTCCTTCTCGAGCTGCTTGCTCTTGTGCACGCTTTAAAGCTTTGAGCCTCCAACTTGCTCCTCCGTCCCCAACAAGTGAAGAAGATAGAAGTTGGTCAGCACCAACTTTAGCTCCATCACTTTCTTCTGGGTAACCACTTCCATTATCCTTGAGATATGGATTCAATTCCTTGGGATTCACCTTCTTTGACTGAAAAAGAAAATAAACTTAGTCCTTTTATCACCTTACATGCAAACTAAATGAAAACGTTTAAGCAGACCATAAATGGACAAAAACTTCAATTAATGGAGTCAACAGGGAAAGTGAAACTCTGGTCACTAATTCAACACTTCAAATAAAAACATACTGAAACAAATGATAAATATTATCAATTCATATAGAAGTAACAAGAATTAATAAACATATAACAATGTGTCCTCCTTTGAGGACAGAATAAATAAATAAATATAGAACCTGCCAAGACAGCTAGACATTTTTGCAGATGAGAGGGAAAGAAATTAACATTGAGACATACCTCCTCAACTGGAACCTCCTCTGACAATTCCTTTTTTGTTTCTGAAATTGCAGGCCTCATACTTTCAGCCCTAAGCATCCAATCCAATCCCATATCTTTTCTTGCAATTTCCCTCTCACTCATAGAATCTCCTTCGACACTTGTAGCTTTGCCTTTAATCTTGTTCCTCTTACTCCCATCTTTTCTATCTGACTTTTGCTGCTTCCCTCGTCGACCTGAAAAACTATCACTATCATCAGTAGAAAATGAAGAGTCTTCCTCATCCTCAGACATATATTCTTTTTTACTACTCCTTGATCTTGATCTGGCTTTTGACCTTTCACCAGAATCACATGACGAAGCATCGTCTCTTTTCACTTTTGATTTCCTCCTCTTCTTTTCATCTTGCTCACTTTCACTTTCAGTTGTGTAAGAATCTTCGTCGGACAAATACCACTTCTTCTTCCTAGATCCTTTCTTTATCTTTTCAAGCTCATCATCATCATCTGAACTATACCGAGAGCTCTTACCCTTCTTCCTCTTATTCCTTTTCCTCCTACTATCTGATTTTTTCCTTTCCTTTGAAATAGAATCCAAGTCCTCATCTTGCACCTAGTACACATACAATCAGCCACAGCAATGGGGGAATAATAACAGTGACACTATGATAGAAGTATGCTATGCTAACTCCACTGACCTGGTCACGGGGAATGAACTTCACCCCTGAAAGCATTTTCTAGATTGCTAGAACGTACCAATGCCTGCATAATAATAAAAATACGAAAAAAAAAAACGCATAAATAAGCCTGTTTAATTGAAATAATTCCCAGCAAAGTAAATGCAAAAAGCGAGGGCATAGCAATTGAAATAACACTTAAGCATGCAGAAGTAGAGACAAAAACAAAAGTAGAAATTAATAGCAAGTGAACAGAGAAAGGTGCAGTCGAACGAAGAAAGCAAGAAAAGTTAAGAATGAATAAAATTGAAGAGGGGTATTCTGAGCACGAAATTCAATCAAATATAAGTATTCTGAGCAGATGATAGGTTACAAATTTGAGCTTTATTTATCATTTTAAAGAGAGTTAAATATAAGTATTTTGAGCTCTATGTCCAAACTTCTATGGAATGTAAAATGCATTCACAAACAGGTTGAACTTAACAAGGTTAAACAAATAAAACGACTTCAAATACATATAATGACCTAAAATCATTCACTAGCAAACTGAACCAGATAACATGAAGAATTTTGGTGGAGTTTCTTCGGTATAGAGAGATGAGTTCGCGAACATTGAGTGAAATTTGAGAGCAAAATTATCCAGAACTCAAACACCGATTAACAACAGAAAATTGAAATTAAAAACCGTAAATGGAATAGTAAGGGTGAACAAAAAACTTACCCTAACGAAACTAGAAAAGGTGGCGCGCGGCAACGGCGAGAGGAGAGGAGAGAGCGCGGAGAAAGGAAAGCTACCTGCGATCGGGTCTTTGCTTCAGACGTCGCCGTTTAGAGTCGTAGCTATTAACCTCCATTTTTCTTTTTTCTTTTTTTGGAAAATGATTAATTGACAAACAGTTTTTTTTTTTTTTAATGGACGAAGGAAAGAAAAAAAAATGAAGATATACAAATTTATTTTTGATAGAATAATATGCTTTTTTAATCACTGACCTATAATATTAATCAAGGTTAATAAAATAAGTAGAGTCAAATATACATGATAAAATAAATATTTTTTATTATTAAATTCAAGTGAATTAGTTTCTTATCTATGTTAATGACTAAAATGAATAATAATAATAATAATAATAGTTATTATATAAGTTAGCTAGTATATCATATAAGATTAAACTATTGTTTTAAAATTTTAAGTAACTTTTAATATTTTAAGCTGACTTACATAAAATATTTATCTGTATTTTAACTTCAACTTATTTGTTATATATTTACCCCTTTTTTAGGGGAAAGAGCCCAAATCCCAATTCAAGAAATAATTTAAACTGTGAAAGTCCGAAATAAAAGCCTAGTCCTCAAACATAAATCGAGGGAAGTGCTAGGCATCATAATTTCTTACTTAATATTTCTAACTAGCTCTTTCTTATTAAGTAAAATTTTATAGAAATCTTATTAAATTTATAAATCTTACCTCTTATCTAATGAAATAATTTTATGAAAATCACATAAATTCTATCCAGCAGTAAAAAGACTATTAGAAAAAACGGGTTAATATTTTGTGTTGCTAACATTTTTTTATTATTATTATTAACTAATGATTTATGCGATGTATCGCATGTGGACTGGGCTAGCTTGGCCCTAGTCCACTTCTTAGCTACTTTGTGGGTCAAAATCTTCATTATTAAAGTTTGTAATCTAAGGAGTGGCCCATTTAGAAGTCCACCGGAGAGTCGACAACTTTTGGTAGTTCTTTCTTAGATTTAGGAGAGTTAAAAGAGAGAGAGAGAGAGAGAGAGAGAGAGAACTTACGTATAGTTATTTAAATATTTTTATGTTGTTTATTGATTAAAATTTAAATCTTTTTTTAATGGCATTCCACTACTCTATAAAGATTAAATTAAAATTTGGATCCTATTCTGCTAAAATATTAATATATATTATTAGGATAAAACTTAAATTCAAAAATAATACTAAAAATACTTGAAGAATTACACCAATTTTTAATTCTTTGCAAAAAAAAGTGTTTTTTTGGATCTGTAACGATCTGTTCTTAGATTAATAACCAGGTAATGTGATTTGTTTATTTTACCTTTGGGTTTTTTTTTTTTATCCCTATGACATTGCTTTACAGTAACGCTTATTCGTATCGGTTTGATACGAAATAAGGATGAATCAATTTTTTTTTATGAATAATAATAAATCAAATCATAAAAACAAGCTTGGCAATTTTTTTTAGGTTTTGTATGAAAAAAGCCTTTATTTTTAATAAGAATTCCTTTTAGATTTGTTATCGTTTTTATTAAGTTATATAACTTTTTTCCCTGACTATTTAGTTTTTTCGTTAACTTTCCATCCTTTTAAATTTTTTTAAAAAATTTAATTTAAATTTTAAATTTAATATAGATACACCATATTAAATAAAGAATTAATATAAACTAAATTTCAATATAATAAATTTAAATTTTGACATCTTAAATAATAAATATGATAGTGTTTTAATTTTGATAATTTATTTGATAAAAAAAAATTCACTTTTAAAAGTCAATTTTTTTATTTTCCTTTGTTAACTATAACAAAAAATTTATTATTAAAAAATGAGAATATCCGTACTGTCGTACAAGAGAAGTTTGCTAAGTACTTAACATCTGAAGTGTACTTGGTGAACACGTGTTGAAAAAGTAAAATTGGGTTACGTGCATAGGTGTTGAGAAAGTGATACGAATCTTACCACAAATTTACATGCTTGATGAAGACGAAACACCCAGAACAGATCTTATGTCCAACATTAGAGGTTTTATAAAATATTATACTATCTTTTTATGCACGTTAAATAAATATATACACAATATGACATCGGTTTGTGACTATTCTATCTCCTTACAGGTGTTACGTATAAAAAAATAAATATATTTTTTTACAAGCAATATAAATTAGTATAGTACAAATTTATTTTGATATAAATTTGTTAATTTATCAAAATAAAATTTAATTTAATTTAAAATAATTTTATAATTAAATAAATATTTATTTATGTGGTGTATTAAATACATTTATAATTGAATAAAACTTTATATTTAAAAATATTGATTTTATATTATTATACATTGATTTAATTTGGAATGTTTATACATTAAAAATTTTCTTTGTCAGTATTTTATCTTCAATGTCAAGTGTTTATTTTTGGTTAAACCAAGAAAGTGAATGAAGTATTTCTTTCTTTAACAAGCAATGCAGTTAAACATAGAGAAAGCTAAATAAATTATTATTTTTTTTGTGGATCAAGTAACTTAATTCTTAAGACATTCAGACATTAAGCTCTTGCTTTCTTTTACAAACAATATAAAAGATAAATTCGTCAGCACTGATCAATTTTAAAGGCTTAGCAAATAACTTAGTCTATTTAAAAAGATAACAAGGTGAAAAATATAAATTAGTATTTAAAAAATTATCAACAAAAGTAAAAAGTCGCAAAATTTATTATCATCGTTTAATGACTTATATCACAAATTTTCAAGAACAAATTATATTTATATTTCTTCAAGCTTAATATATATATATATATATATATATATATATATATATGTATATATGTATGTACGTATGTATATACATTTATTTTTATTATTGAAATCTCTTTTAATTTAAATAATATAACATCATATATCATTTTTAATAATAATTCTCTTATTTTTTATTTTTTTTACAATTATATGAATAAAGCTATTAAAGTAATGTTGGAAAGCAGGAATAATATATATAATTTTTTCAAAATTTAAAATTTTGCAGATGATAGGTTACAAATTTGAGCTTTATTTATCTTTTTAAAGAGAGTTAAATATAAGTATTTTGAGCTCTATGTCCAAATCAAAGGCTTTCTCTATCTTAAATTGGAGTATTATCCTTTCCTTCTAATTTTTTAATAAAAAATAACAACTATTGAGTGCAAATGCTTCTAATGTTGACAAGGTTTGAATAGGCAATGCTTACACAAATTCAAATTAAGGTCACAACAGCTAACTTGACTAAGAAACGTAGAGCATTTTGAGTGTAGAGTTCTATATTTGTTTATAACTTCTGAATTTTATCTTCAAATTCCTTGTAGAAGGATCAGTTGCACATTTACACTAAATTATTCTCTTCAAATTCATATATAATGCTCACAGTGTTTAATTTTAAATGAAGCATTGAAGCAAATTATGCATTAATGACATCTTTCAATCTTCATACGTGCAAAAATTATAAAAAAATGTGTGTGCCCTTTTCCCCAGGAAAGAAAGAAAGACTGGACGCTTTATCTCTTTTTTCCCAAAGAGGATTTTCTTAAAAAATAAGTTACAAGAAAAAAACGATAGAAAGAACGACGAACAAACACATGCGTAAAGCAAGACAATAAGCATATATTAGACCGGAACTAAGGGAAGTGTTCAAAGGGATTCAAATTACACTTTTTTCACGGGTTTAAAGGCATGAAATTATAATTTATTCTGTTTATTTTTTATGCTACAGTAATGTAGTTTTTAAATTTTTGAAGCGTATATGTTACACTAAATATTTTATAAACTGCAATAAATGTAAAATATAAAAAATTAACTTATAAAAAAATGTAAAATGTGATACGACAAAATTTTAGTACAATGACATACTTAACTTTTATGAAAGGCATTTTATGCAAATTACGAATCTGTCCCATACAAAAGGGAAGAAAACACTAATTGATGGAAATTGCTAGAAGGGTGCCACTAAGGCACGAAGTGATGAAGTACCAAAGCTTGATCCTGGGCAAGAGAAACATGTATGTAATGGGATGGTGCCACATGCACTTAGAAAAATAATGGAGGCGAACAAAACGAAAATTTAGTAACAATGGAATCCATGAATTGAGGCCACAAGAGAGTGAGAAACATAGAAATTGAATGATTGCCTCTCACTTAATCTGTTCATGCATCTGTTTGAATAATGCATGCACGGACCCATCCAACTAATTTTGACAAGGATGGTTAAAAATCATAGATAGTATTAGGTTAACAAGTTATGATAGCATGTATATTGTATAGTATTTCAAATAAGCTTCGATTTGAAATGGCTTTGGCATTATCTCAATTTGTTCCAAATCTCTAATTATGAATGAAAGGCATTAATTGATCTATGCATGTGCCAGGTGCAGACAATCACTGGTGGTGAGATTGACGGTCAACCTTCAATTTTATAAAAAAAATATTGGGGCTTTATCCATTGAACTGTGACAGTTTCAACGTTAATTAAGTATGTTTTACACACATAAACTTTTATGATTTCCCTTGCACCGCATGCATGCAACACAGATGGGAACCAATGAACCATATCACTAATCAATTGTTGTGGTATAAATCAAAGAGAAGAGAGAATATAGGTATGCATGATTTTCTTAGGAACCATTTAACTGTAAAAAAAAATTTCTTGTTTGTATTTTTAATTATAAAGATATCATATAATTGTTTTATTTCCTGTTTTTAAATATTACAGTATGCAGTGAAATCATAAAAAAAATATTTTTATTATTTTGTACAATTTTTAAAAACAAATAAAACTATAAGTGATATTTTTATTATTAAAAATATTAAAAAAAAAACCAAACAATCTCTCAATATTTATAACAAAACTGACACTTCAAAATGATCCGTCACAAGTCACGACCATTTTCCAACAAAAAAATATCACTACAACAAAATTGAATATAGATGTGGTAGGTTTTCTACAGTTTCACACTGTTTAGATAGAAACATTGACACTTCAAATTAAACGATCCATCACAATCATTTACCACCAAGAAAAAGAGAAAGGATCCATCGCATTTATGGATGCAATAGAATGGTTGCAATGAAATTAATGATTACCAAGTTCTTTTATTTTCTTCTTTTTGAGTAGAGTATTGATTTTTAACTGAATTGCACTGTTAATGCAAACTATTTAATGTCTTATATAATATTCAAATATAATGAGTTTGGAACCGAAAATTTTCAAGAGTTTAATTTAAATGTAAAATTGTTTACATTATCAGCCAATTAAACTACATTATTCTTATATTTTTAAACTAATTATTATAAAAACTAATAGTTTTTTCAATATAATAATCTATAATTAAATAATACTATAAAAAATATATTATTAACACATCTAAATTAAATTTAATTATAAATAAAAAATTCTATTTTTATCTCGTTCTGAAAAAGGAACACACATTGACTGGCAGAACAAAATCTTAGGCTGTACTGTGAAATTCACTGATTGGATTTTTTTTTTTCTTTCTAAAATCGTTTTCATGCTGTTGCAGTTAATAGACATGATACATGATATTGTAATATAGATAAAATAATAATATATTACCAACAAGGTTCAAAACAGTTAAAATATTGAGTAATATACTAATTATTTAATTCAATTAATTAAAATTAAAATTTTAATTATATGTGTAAAAAGGATTTATTTAAACTATTGAATAAGATAAATAATTTCATTTAACTAATGAAGTCAAGAAAGCATCTTAGACAAATCTATTTTTTTCTGTAAATAAAAGTTAAGAAAGATGAAACTCATGAATAACTTTGGTATTTCGAAAGAAGTTAACTACTACCAATTGATTGTAAAATAATTTTTGATGGAAATATTGGTATGCATTTGGCTTAATAATATTAGTGTGCATGAGTATCTGAAGAAACAAGTTCTGAATTAAATTTAAGAGAAGCAGCCACGCGGTGTGAAGTCAAATCCCAAAGGTACAGGTGTCGAGAACAAGATACTTTGCATTCTGCAGAACAATGAAAAGAAAGTTGAAATAGTAAACGTTTCTTTGAGCAAAAGAAACCACTCAGACTGCGGCTTGACTTTGATAATACACATTTTACCCTTATCATTCCCAAATAATTAACTACCTATGTTCAATAATTTTGTCTATTCGTGTCAAGCGATATTTGGGGAGAGGAACATGATTATTGATTAGAGACAAAAGTCATTATCCAAGTCTTATTTTATACATTAAATTTTACCACAAGTTGCGCATACATTAAGCAAACCACTTTCTTTATAAACCTATAATATGATGTCCCAAAATATTGTTATAGACTCCCCATTCCCTCCCTCTCTCTCTCTCTCTCTCTCTCACACACACACACACACAAGTACTGTGCTCTGTCTTCTCTCCCTCCCTCCCCTGTTTTTTTTTCTGTTGTGTGGAGTTCTCTATTCATTTCTCTGCTCCAAAAAGAACCAAGGAAATGGGTGTTCTTGATTACCTTTCAGATCACTTCTCTGTTTCCACTTCGAAAAAGAAACGCAAACCAATGCAGGTTTTAATGAACTCCTATCCCGTGTGTGTATGTGTGTGTTTATGGTTGTTTTAATCTCAAGCAAAAACTGATTTTTTTTCCCTCCCTTTTTTTCTATAGACGGTTGAAATCAAGGTGAAAATGGACTGTGATGGCTGTGAAAGAAGAGTTCGGAACTCTGTTTCCAACATGTCAGGTTCATCTCTCTCTCTTACTCTCTCAGTTTCGCTTATTTCCGTCTCTACCAGTCCTAACTTGTTCATGAGAACCAAATACAAAGGCTACTTCGTATGTGGTAAACAACCAAATCAAGCAGAGACTTTATATTTCATAGTTCAAAGTAAACTATTTTAGCTTGTAGGAAAATTGGAGACTATTTTATCTTATAACTATTAATAGCTTTGACATGACATTTTTTCCTCTCTTGTACGGTAAACAACAAGTTCATACCCACACACCAAATATGTATTTATGTTCTTATTTCAAGTTGCATAATTTTTTGGTAGTTTGCTATTTTGCTTTATGAGAACGTTCAGATTAAGTTTCCAAAAGGCTTCACTGAAATGTTTTTGGTAATTAAAAAAAGAGTTAAGTGTCTATACGAGAAACCTTATACAAATTAAAAAAGAATTATGCTATTAGTGTTAGAAAAAAATTATTATCGACTGGGACTAAATAATTTTAGAACATTAATCCAGGTGTGAAGCAAGTAGAGGTGAATAGAAAGCAAAGCAAGGTAACTGTGACAGGTTACGTGGATAGAAACAAGGTCCTAAAGAAAGTGAAGAGCACAGGAAAGAGAGCTGAATTTTGGCCCTATATTCAATATAACTTGGTGGCATATCCCTATGTAGCACAGGCATACGACAAGAAAGCACCTTCTGGGTATGTGAGAAACACTGAACTAGCTCTTCCTAACCCAAATGCACCCGATGAGAAGCTCGCCACTCTCTTCAGCGATGATAACCCTAACGCATGTTCAATTATGTAACGCAATTTTAGTCATGCAATAGAAGGACCAGCTTGCAAGTTCATGTTCACATGGTTCACTGTTCCCATATGTGCATAGTTTCTTTGATCAATTTTGGGGACTATTCACAAAGACTTGGAGGGTATTTTTGAACTCGTTGTAAGCTTTACTATCCATATTTAAATATATCAGGTTATGCTTATGAGTAATTAGAATAGAACGTAGAAGAATATGTAGAAATAATGTTTGTACCTCGTAGGCAATCGTTGTGATAGTTATGAACTTGTGTTTAAATTGTATAATCCCTATGTTCTACTCCATGATCATCTTGTATAAAGCTTTTCTTAATAAATATTTCAAAGTAATTATGTACTAGGGTTTCTAAATCGATATCGTTATTTGAATTATTTAAAATTAATATTGTATGTATTTTTTCATCAATTGCTTTATTTTTTTTATCTACACGTCTTAAAAACACATCTAAAATGTTAAAAAAAATGCCTTAAACTATTTTCAAGCAGCACGTAAAACATTCTCCTTTATTAATAAGCCTGAAGTTAAACTTAGGGTTACAACAGTAGAAATATATATGATGATTGGCGTTATAAAAAAAAATCTAACTAATGTGTTGTGCATAAATACAACTTAAATGTAACACCTACGAGGATCGATGCAGATAATAACGTGTGTTTAAATATTTGATAAAGAAAATAATGTGTGTTTATTCCATCTTTTGTGATAGAATTTGATAAAAATATCTGAATTTTGATTCAATATTTAAATATTTCCTTTATAATGTCAAAACTTAAATTAGCAAATGCATATAATCTTAAAGACTAAAGTTACAGGTTTAGAATGATTTTTTTTAATAATTTAAAGAACTAAGTTAATAAAATTACAATTTTAGGAATTAAAATATTATTATATTAAATATATTATAATGGTTTTTTTCACATTGGAAGTCAAATATAAAAGGCCATTAGCTTAACTATTTTGAGTTAAATTCAAGTATTATTACCTTAATTACTGTGTTGAAGCTGTGAAGGTATCTAGTAAACGAAAATTATTTTGAATTAATTTATAATTAGTAACTTGTTTTTTACGTAATGTTATTCTGTGTTAAGCATGTATAAATGTGGTGCAAATATTTGTGTTAAAATATAAAATTTCAAGGTGCTTGCAAGAAACGCGTTAGATTAGATTATGCTCAAATAATTTTCTTAATTATCTGCTATCTATAGTGTATATTTGGTAATTTTAATGGTTTGTTTAGAAAAACTTTAATTATAATTTTCAAAATAACCTAATAATAATAATAAAAAAAAATTAAGTACGCTTTTGTAGAGAATGTTTAAAAGATTTCTTTCACCGTCAACAGAATTATATTATATTTGATGGCCACATCTTATCACAGCCTGTTTATGGTATCTGCCGACTTCCCCACAGTGCTTGTTTGGCAAATCATGAATGAATCATCTATCTATTAAGAAAAAGGCGAATAGTCTAGCTTTCGGATTAATTTTTTATATATGATATTTAGAAATAATAATAATAAAATATTTAAATTTTTTTATAAAATATAGAATTTAAAAAGTGTCATTTGATCTTTAGTATAAGTACATAAATTTAAAAATAAAATAATAATAATAAAGTTTCTAAAATTATTAGCAATTTTTTACAAAAAAATAAAAATTGTCTATAAATTTTTTTAAAATAATAAAAATATTTTAAAATATGAAAAATTGTTATTGATTATTTATTTTGTTAAAAGCTGCTATAAAATTTTTTATTTTTTTTATATTTCTATAATTTGACTAAAATATTTATATTTTTATAATTTCAAAAAAAATTATTAAAAAAACCCGAGAACATATGTAATGATGTTACCTGTTCGAAAATAATAACCTAAAATATATATGACTTAAGTCATCGCACTACGTTTATTTGTTAAATAGCTTATACTTTGGATTTTTTAAAAGTTCAATTGATTAAAAGGTCAAATTTAAAGTTATTTAAACAATTATTAAATATTTATACCTATAACGAGATAAAATATTAAGAATATTTTTATCAAAAATATAGTATATTTTTACTATTTCATATTATTCATTTTATCTTGTATATTTTAATATCATTTTACTATAAAAATTATAACAAGAAAAATAACCCCAATATAACTGCAGGCAGGTGCAAATGATCGCATTGGCAGCAGACTTTCAAGTAATAACAAATGAAAGAAAATCTGGATTCTTATTAACTCTGTACTTGATTAATTATTTGTAAAATTGTTTATCATTCTTACAGCTCCAATGATTTTAAAAAGAAAAGAAAATTAACTTTCCTTGTAAATAAAATAATATAGAATAAAAATCTGCTGTCATGTTTGTCAAACAGTAGACATCATGGTATCTTGCTTTTCCTTAAATTTTGGGATTTTAGAACAAAAGGACAGTAGAGTGGAATGCTAATGCATTAACGGTGGTTGATTTTTGCAAAATGTCAGGCGATAGCATATGATCGAAGACTGTTAATTTTAGTTTTTAGTATTGATTTTAAATAATATTAAATAGTAAATATTTATTAAAAAAATATAAAATATAATACATTTCTTTTTATAAAATTATACTATTTTTGATATTTAAATTTAAAGACAAAAATCAATTAAATTATGTAATATCAAATCAAAGTTTTATTAAATTATCATGCTTATGATATAAGGAAATAGTCAATATTCCACACGTGAAGGGATTTTTTTTTATTAAAGTAAAATTTTGAAAATATAAAATATAAAATGTATTCAAAATAAATATAATTAATTTGAATAAATAAGAAAAAGTATGAATAATTTAAATTTAAAAATGATTACTTTTTTAAAAAAATTAAAAGATTCTATTTGACAATATAACCTCATATGTAAGTGACAGAATCTTGAGATTAAAAATAATTATAGTGAAAATATGAGCAAAAAAGGAAATCGAAATATATAATAACAATGTAATAATAATCAATATAAATTTAAAAGTTTAAAAATAAAAACAAATATCAACAACAATAAAATTCCTGTAAAGTGCTAACTTACCCTTAAAAAAATGTATAAATTTGGGACTACATATAACAGAATGTGCAGTGTGTACACACCAAAACACTAAGTTGTGTGAAATATCATCTTGCATATAACTTTTCTTTTCCTGAAAAACCTACGCCATAAAGGATAGAAGCATGACATGAGAAGATATCGATTATTCATCATCATTGTAAATTCTCTATTAGTGTAGTACTGGATATGTTAAACACTGTGTTTATTTGATTTAGAGTCGCTCGTGTTGTGATTGTGATACATATTCAGCATGAAATCTATGTGATAACTTAAGCAGTATGCATTTGCTAAATTTAATACTTTGATTTTTTTTTATAAATAACGTAATATAATATTTTATTAGTCTTAATTATAAGAAATATAAAATAAATTTAATATGTATTGATCGTTATTTTTTTTATCTTTTTTTTATTGTAAATATATGTTTATGAAGTGCTGATTACATCATTTAATGTTATAGGTATTTTTAAAATAAGATTTATATTTATAAAAAATATAACTGATTTATTTATTTTTTTATCTTAGCAATTTAGTCTTTTGTTAGGGAGTAGTAATTAAGTTCAAAAGAGATAGATAAATATATGAGAATTGAGTATATGAATAGTTTTGAAATAAAATAAATAAACGTCAGTCATATGATTATTTTTTTTTCACAATTTTAAAACGTCAAGAAGACAAAATAATGCTTTTTGAAAGTAAGCCATACGAAGTTGTATATTGTTCAACCTTTATGGTGCTAAGTTACATTTTTCTGAGATTAATTTTCAAAATTTAATTATATGTTAGTCATGTAACTAATAACTTAGTTAATTTTTTAAAATATTCATTTAAAATTTTAATTTTAATATATTATTAGTATAAAATATTGCACGAACAATCAATTAGAATAATGATGTAAACACTTTTTTTTACACTGTCACTATATTTAAATTAAATATATTCACCAATACTATGTAATATAGTATATGATTAATTATTACATAAATATAGTTAGAATGTAATGAAGTACATTTTTTTATACTCATAACTAATTGTAAATTATTGAAAATTATTGCTATTTATGATAATTAGTTTTAAAATTATTCACAAAATATTATCTATTAAGTATAATTTTTTTTTTAATAATAATAATAATATATTGAGATTAAACTCTTATTATTACATTTTGTTGCTATGCTTTTCTTTTTTACTAAATTTAGCTCCTTCGCTTTTCCTTGTATTTATCTTTAATATATAGAAAGATCAATCATAGTTACCCTTCTGATTGTCACATTCCATCATCAATTAATAAATAACGTCTAAGTAGATGTTTACTGCGTCTAATGGCTTGAAGGAGACTCTTGGCACGAAAGTGAGTGGCCAGACCTTTTCATATTCCCCAATCATGTAATGAAACTCAAAGCTTCCACTTGGTATGAAATTACTCCAACGTAGCTTTTAGGAATAAGATAAGGTTTCAAAGGAAACTTATCTTTGCTCTTACTTACCGCAGGCTTTTTTTTCTTTCTGTCTGTGAGAAATTCATAAATATGATGAATATTGACCCTTTTGAAAAGTATAAAGGCAAAAAGAATTTAACGATAATGAGAATAGGCACGTAATTCAAGAGGTTCTGCATTTAATGCAAACCCGTAAATTGTGCACTTTCTTACCAACCAAAATGCAGGGATACATATCTAAGGATATCCTGCGGGAACAAATAATGAGAGCATAGTTAATTGTTCTATCTCTATCGAGTTTGGCTTTTATTTTTATTTTGGTAGGGGACGAAAAGTTGATGGGTCCATATATTTATATTCCATTTGCATAAAGCTAATCTTCAGAAAAAGTAACCGGCTATTATTTGGCACAGGATCCCTCCACTAGGGAACACGAAGCGTAACTCTAGCATTCTTGTTCTTTTGGCATTGCACGAGTGTGTCTTAGAGAGGAAGAAAAAAAAAACTTTGAGTTGGATGATTTGTGACTACACTTCCATTTACGTGGTGGAATTAAGCTCGTGATGTGTGGCTTCCAATCCAGAAAAAAAAAGGCCAATATTCATATCCATGTAAAGAAGATCGAGGTCTACGTTGGATCTAGATGCATGCACGTGTGTTATAATAACATGCATGTAAAGCAATAACAAAAAATTATCATTTTAAAAATTCACTGTATATTTTCCAAGTAAACTAAGCAATGGTCATTTTGGTTTGAGAACGGACCCGCAAACTAGTCC